GTGCAATTGGAACTGATTCTATTTGGCTGATTAACCAGGTTAGCTAGATCCCACTCTAGTATCTTGCAGCATTTACCTTCAATGAACAGATGAAGAGCTTTCTGGAGAGAGAGATCTGGGGCTTCAGGGACCTTCCCAAATAGATTACATGATTGCTTGCTAGAAACGTTTGATTGATTTAGCCAGAGGCTATCTTTCACTGTAAAATAGCAGCTGGAGAAGGCTGGGGAGAAGCCCTATCGCTCAATCGATGTCTTGACTATCGGCAGCTGTAAACGTCTGTCTGGAAGAAGCAAATAAATGTGAATGACCAAAGTGACAGGTTAATTTATAACCTCCTTCTTTCTTAGTTATATCCAATTGGAATGATCTAGTCCCAGAGAGTCAGATGATGTGAAGATTTATTATGCAGTTCTGTGTGGTCACTAATGGGACTATAGTCTCTGACATGAAGCCCTCCCTGCAATGTGTGAGCAGTTAGAACATCAGCAAGGACTATGGGCTAAAATTTCAAACAACCAGTAGTTAGAAATTTAAATGTTGTCTGCAAGCACCATAGATCTCCTGGATATTTCCAATTCCAATGAGAAGGAAGTTATGATCAAAGCCACTGAAGTTAAAATGATTGTTGTTCCAAGGATGGCCCCTCCCCTTCCTCTTGGTTCACTGTCAAGGAAATTCCATCCCAGTAACCCTGCATCTCCTCTGCATCCATCTCATATGTCCTCTCTGGGTGCTCCCCTATCTCAAATAAGCTCCAAGTTCCAAACGCACAGGAGACTTTTGCCCTAGGTTGTTGTTTCATATCACAGGTTATCTGCTTGTGAATTGCAGGCCTATTTAGATTTTGTGGTGAGAAGCACAGAACTGGTAGTTTAAAATTTTCTTAAAAAGTGAAAAAAAAAAAAATAGGGGCAATGGTAAGATATGTATACTGACAATAATTTAATAAATTTTTTTTAAAAAGATATATTTTTAAAAAAATTTTTTAAATTAAAAAAATATATATATCTCTTATATAAAAGGCCTGTGGATGTCATGCCATCATGGCCAAACAAGCAGTGGCTCTCGTGGCTGGTGGGGCGTGAGGTGAGCTCCTAGCTGCAGAGAGCTACTGGCGGCAGAGGGTGGGGCGCAAGCTATGAGCGGTGATGGGTGGGGTGGCCAGCTGAGGCGAGCAGAAGTGAGCTACTTACACATGATTTCGTGCAAGGCAGACCTCTAGTCTGAATATAATTAATGAATAACAATAAGTATTGAGCTTACATTAGCCAATACAATTGATGATGCTATAGACCAATGTTTCCCAAAGTGTGGTACGCGTTTCCCCAGAGTTTGGTGGGGGTATGCGTTGCACTGGAGTTCGGTGGGGATATGCACTGCACCATGCTTAGCTGTGCCTAATTCTACATTCTTATGAGTACGAGGGGTACTCAGTGTACGAAAATTATAGAAGGGGTACACATATGTCAAGTTTAGGAAACACTGCATAGACCATATCCCCTCACAGTAGTTTGAAAAGTGATATGTACTGTTAAAATTTGTGAAGTTTTTCCATTTCCTCAGTCTATCTGGAACAGTGCTGTCTGATGAAACTATAAAGTTCTAACCTGTGCTGTCCAAGAAGGTAGCCAGGTGTCAGTCACACATGACTACTGAACACTTGGAATGTGGCTAATGCAACTGAGGAACTGAATTCTAAATTTTATTTATTTTAATTAAATGGCTACTTGTGATTCATGGTTACTATATTGGTCAGAACAGACCGGGGATACAGTGAATGATCTTATAACAGCATAGTCTAGATTCTGCTGCAGCCACAAAGAACCCTAGATTCTCTGTGATTTATAAGGATTAAGGTTTACTTCTTGTTTGTGTTCTGTACCTGTTTGGGGTTGCCTGAGGATCCAGGTGGGTAACGCAGCCACATCTCACGTGTTGGCAGTCACCGTGGAGAGTTCTCTACCAGGACATAAATGCTCTGGCCCATGGGGACATACATCAGTTCTGCTCACAACTCACTGACCAGGACTCGTCACAGGGCCCAGTGAGTGAGGAGCAGGAGAGCAGTTCTCATTGTGCCGGGCAAAGAGCCTCAGTAATGACTGACAGACATTAGTCTCCTTCTTAAAAGACAGAGAGAATTCCCAAGAGGTAAGGAAAGTAGCATTACTTGTGTTTTATTGAAAAGAGGAGAGTTGAGTATCTTTAGAATTTAATTATCCTTTACATTCTGATACTCACTGAAGAGATTTATAAAAGCTGGTAAAATGTAAAAAGTAAAACTCAAAAATGTTGAGAAAAAGAAAAAGATACTTTGTATAAGTTCGAGCTGACAACAGTCAGCATGTCTTTATAGTTATACATAGAAATACCATTTGATATGAAGTTTTGCAATGTAAGGAACAATCTGTGGATTATTCTTGATATGTTTGGGATGAAAATGGAATGGAAGAAAGTATATTTGTGATTTCTTCATAATACAGAATATATACGATACATTTTTCACCAGTAAGGAATAAAAAGCGCTTTTCTTTAAAAATAATAATTTCTCACTAGAAATATTTGTAGAGTGTGGCTGCCTTAAAAATGGGAAAAAATTAACTGGATGAATGGATTGTTTCTTTCCATTCCATGTGGATCATAGACTTATCCAGTACAACATTTAATGGCATATCTTTGTTCTTTCTAGACTATTTACAATATTGTTTGGACCTCCAGACATGGGGAAGTCACCATCGAATTCCTGATAACAGACTTCCTAATAAAACAATAGGTCAGTATCCTGGAAACAAATGCTTTAATATCAAGACATGGAAAGATGGCACCTGGTAGCTAATAATGGGTTGCATCAAAGTTACAAATGCAAACAAAGCCCTGTAAATAATATTAAAGATGAGGATGATTTTGCCACATGCTGGAAATGCCATGTAGATTTTAGTACTATGAGGACACTAATGATATTGGAAGTGTAATTGAACCAAACTGATGGTCGAGAGAAATTCTGAACTAAGTGTGCAAATTAGGCTACCTAGTATTTACAAGAACTAACTAAGTCACCCTGCCCCTTAGTGAAACACAACCAGAATTGCCATTTACGCAACACAGCATTTGTTTTCCGTTCCCAAGGTCTATCTGGGCAGTCTACAACGGGTGGCATGGGAAGAAAGAGAAGGCTGCAGAGACTGAACAAAAAGTATGCATTGTGGTATCCTTTATTTAAAAATTGTGAGCTAACTACAGTTGTAGTGTTCTCATTTGCCATTCCGATGGCATAATAAACTGGGAGAACATTAACACAATGTTAAGAAGGCATCAAAAACCTGTAAACAAACGTACACACCACACATGCACACACATGTACAATACACACACACACACACACACACACACAGATTATAAACACAAAGTGATGAAGTCAAGCTCTGAATGCTCTAAATCAAATTAAAAACCCTTCGTTATAATAAACTGTGGCAATAGTGTGGCTATTATGAAAAATATTGTTAACTGTTTAAAAAGCAAAAAGGAAAATACTGGCAATTTGAAATTAGCAGCAAAAAGCAGATAAGCTAGAATGGAAGATAACGTAAGACTAAATAATAGCAAAATTCTAATGTTGATACCATGTAGGATTGCACTGAAGTAATTTAAGATCAATTCTTGAAGAACTATTAAAAGTCCCTTGAAATATTAAATCACTGCACTTCACAAACAGTGGACAAGAATAAAGCATTTGGAATGTTACACACGCACGCACGCACGCGCACACACACACAGAGGAAATGTATTAGGCATATCAGTTTATGGTCTTTGTTTAAGACCTTCAAAAAGTTTATAAAGAAAAGTTTAAGTGCCAATGTAGTGAAAGAAAGTTAAAAGTTTCTAAAGGTGCAAGTCTGATGCATTTATTGGGTCTGAGAATATATTTTGAGGTGGGGCCCAAGGCATGATGGATGCACATTTAAGAAAAGAAGACCCATCGTGGAATCTACAAGGGCAGGCAGAGTTCTCTGAGGGTGTTTAGAATGAAGGTGTGTCAAACTCAGACTATCCTGAGGGAGACTCCAAAGTATGCAGAGTTCTACAGCTCTTCATTATCTGAAATGTCTCATAGTGGCCAATAAATAAGACTAACTTTTCAGCAAATTGGTTTTCATAAAAACACAAAAATCTTTTCCACACCTGCAGAGCTGATAGTCAATAACAGCACAAATATGAATCCTGCTTTCAGAAGAGAAGCACATTAGCAAGGATATTTCCCCCCCCCCCCACGAGTTCTTATAAAAATGTCTGAAGCTGCTAGATACCTGCAAAGAGGGGCTACGTTTAGATTTCCTAATGATTTTAGGGGGAAAAGGGGTTTTGTTTTCCTAAGGAAGCCAGCCTTCTGTGAGCAGGAGACCTGTCTAAGTGAAATGTCCTTAGCGCTTAAACTCCTGGCAAGCTCAGATCCAGAAAAACGGACAGGCAGAACAGAGGAATGGAAACTCTGAATGTCTACAGTATAGTTTGGAATAAAATGTGCCTTATAAGTTAAAACGGCTCAACTGCTTTCCGACTGAAGGGCTGCAGCCTGAAGAAGACCCAGTTCTCTGGAGTTGGGAGCTGGGAGAGAGGCCTCCGTCTCCAGGGGCCTCTGGGCTGACCTGGGGCCGCGGGGCCTTATTTTTCCATGAGTGTTTCAAATTGGTGGCTTTGCCCAGAAAAATACTTCTTTTGGTTACTTTATCTTTAAAATCAACTGGATTTTTAAATTGGATTTGAAATCAAATTTCCCAAAATGAAATTTAGCTGTACTAGTATCTTAAGGTGCCTGCTAACTGATATTAATGCCCATTAATAACACTGCTAGGTATGAACTGCTGTTGCTAAGAATTGACCCTAAAATAATCTAACTAGGGAACCTATCACACTAGGTGCTTTTACTATCTTGGGTTTTTGAGCTTTAGAGAAATAGTTTTTGTACTAAGACCTAGAAATTGCCTCTCTCTGGCTTTGTTTCACTCTTCCTCCTCTTCCTCTTCTTCCCCTTCCCCTTCTCCTTCCTCCATGGTTTCCACAATGAGTTCCGCTGTGCAGGTGGCTTCTCCGAGACTGTTGACAGCCTTGCAGGTGTACTTGGCATCATCATCGCCGCACACGTCGCTAATGATTAAAGAGCAGTTCCCATCCTCGTCGTAGTCTATCTGGAAGTGGCGGGACTCCCTGATGGACTGGTCGTCTTTGAACCAGACGACTTCAGGGTCTGGGTATCCTGCATCGCGGGGAAGGAACACAGGTAGCAAAAACTGTCATTCAACATTTCTATCAGTTCATGCAAGGGGTTCTCAAGCTACTAATGCAGTAATGGGAAAAAACAAAACAAAAAAAAGACGTTGCCTTTGAGCAGCTGCTTGGATATTGACATTTGAACCGAACTCTATTGTAAATACTAATATCTGAAACCCTCCGTGAGGTGTTTTACAGTCATCCCCTTTCCCATACATGTGGGCTGGCCCCCCCGCCTCTCACCACACATACACACACACATACACACACACACACCCCCACACACACATCTCTACACAGACGCAGAGTGCTACCTGGAACACCGGCCCACCTCCCAGTGACATGCCCAGAACCAGTTATCTTTTGGGATGAAATGAAAAGTTTCCATCTTGCATAATAGTTGAACTTAAATACATTTAATAAAAATGAAGATTCAGAACAAATGGGTGCAAGGTGCCTTTTGGGGGTGATAGAAAGGCTCTAAACTTGGACTGTGGTGGTGATTGCACAATTCCATAAATTCACTAAAACAACTGAATTGTACACTTAATACAGGTACACTATCTGGTGTGTAAGTTACAACTGATAACAGCTTCATAAAACACAAGTTAGAGGAGCTGGTAATACTGCTAAAGAAAAGAAAGCAGTATTTGTCTTAGTCTGATCCAAAGGCATAACCCGCCTCAAGATAACCAGAAATGGACCACGTGGATTAGCTTTATTTTATGAATTACCATGTTTCTGCAAAGTCCAACATTAAATATATATATATATATATATATATATATATATATATATATATATACACACACACACACACACACATTATGCCTTTAAAAGACAGGACGGAGCAAAAATAGGTTTATAGTTGTGGTTATTTATATGGGAAATAATACAATAATTAATAATGATACAAGAATAAACTGCATTTCACATGCAACTGTAAGTCTACTTTTGCCACACCCTGTATATTATAATTCTAACTGACTTGTTCTTAAATTATTTTTTAAACCTTTATTGTTCAGAGTATTAATGAGTCCCCCCCTCCCCTGTTACCTCTTCTTTGTTCTTAAAATTTGAAGAAGTACTTTCATAGGAAAAAAATTGTAACCCCAACCAGAATAAAAATTCTGTATTAGAACTTAAGAATTCTAACATTCAAGTAGAATTTTATTTCAATTAAAACAGCATCCATATGCTTTAATTTCCCTTCCATGCTCTAGTCAACATTATGCAAATACCAAAGAAATAATTCCAAGCAGAAAAGTGCAAAGATGACAGTTATTATGTTCTAATAATTTTTTTTGAAATGGAAAAAGGAGTCCTGCCGGTGCTTAGTGGTTGAGCATCAACTATGAACCGGGAGCCTACAGTTCGATTCCCAGTCATGGCATGTGCCCTGGTTGCGGGCTTGATCCCCAGTGGGGGGCATGGAGGAGGCAGCCGATCAATGATTCAATGATCCTCTCTCGTCATTGATGTTTCTATCTCTCTCTCTCTCTCTCCCTTCTTCTCTGAAATCAATAAAAATCTATAATAACAAAAGTATGATATGCTAATTAGACTGGATGTCCTTCCGGAAGTCCTTCCTTCCACACAAAGCCACAGTGGGTGGGGGCTGGGGCCACGGCCCTTGCACGAATATATATATATATATTTCATATATATATGAAAAAGAAAAAAGGAAAGACCCTCAGAAGACCCAAAGACAATGGTGATGGTGAGTCACAGGCAGTGGCTCCAGAGCTTTCAGCCGAACCCCAACCCCAGCCTTTCTACACTAGCAAAGGCAGCACGTCACATTTTAAAAATTGAATGAAAAGAAAGATTATGGTGGGCAAGGCATTTACAAGGCATTTGATTTGATACTATAAGGACACAGTAAGGACACAGGTGAAAAATGGTTGTTTTTTTTGGGTTTTTTTTTGTTCCTAACTTTGGATTACTTTATCCAAAAGGCATTATGTGGCTGTATTGCTGGAGAACCTTACACAGTGGGAGGCATGCTTTGTTCTGACTGCTGCCCTTGGCCCTGAGGTCTTGAGCAAGTTGCTTAATGAACGCTGTGCCTCGTTTGGTCAGCCTGACAGGAGAGATAACCCTCCACTCTGGTTGGCACACGACAGGCACCAGCTTGAGGCCAATCTTATCTTACCCTTTATCTTTCCAGAATGTTGCAGGCTGTAGAAACTGAAATGCTTTGGGTCGCCACCATTGTTAATGTCTCCTGTGCTATGTATGCTAAGGTCCCTTAAGGTCCTGTGAGCTCAAACAGCTCACGATTCTATGGCCGCCTTGTCCCAACGGCAGCGACGCCCGGGGAAGAGGCCCCGGGGCCTGGATCCCAGCTTCCCTCCGTGTGAAGTCACACTGCGTGCTCTCTGCTCTCCTCAGTCCCACAACTTTTCCCTTGACTCCCTCACATCCGCAAAGGACTTAAAAGGTTTCTCTTTTCACATATGTTATCTAAGAATCCCCAGTGCCACTCAGGACATCACACAGCATCTGACAGTTGAAGGACCTGAGGCGCAGAGAGTCAGATCACTGCCCAGGCCTCACCGCAGAGCTGCTGACTCCACCTCCCCGGCTCCGGTCCAGCCTGCTTCTGAGGGCCTCTCAGGGGCACGCGTTTCCCAGGACTTGAAACTTGGCCACATACTATCGTCCATGACAAACCACTTGAACTTGGGTCTAGTGGCTGACGGACGTAAGTGAAATATCAGATGTGCCCCTGGGTAAGTCACTGATGGCACCAACCTTCAGGGTGGAGTGAGGGCCTTGGGCCAGCTCCTCCCAACTCAGTTTCCCTCAGCGCCTGGCTCACCTAATGGCTCCCAGGATTGACCTCATGCCTGGGGCACACAGTAGGGGCCCAGCAGCCGCCCAAACCCCTTTTGTCGCCACAGCTACAACTTACCTTCAATCTTGCAGTCAAATCTAGCAGCACTTCCCTCCACCACTTCCAGATCACGAATGGTCTTAGAGAAATAGGGTTTCACGTGGGGCTTCTCCTCAGCAACAGCCTCCAGGAAAGCTTGGGCGACATCTCCTAGAAGACGGGGGAGGACATGGTCACCCCTTCACTCCTAGTTCTTTCCTTTCCCTTAGTTTAAAAAAGCTGACTTAAAAAAAAATTTTTTTTTTTAAAGTAGCTCCAATTTAGCAAACAATGCGGCGAAGAGGACTGAATCAGCAGCACACCTTTCTCCTGGGGACAGGTTGGCCAGCTGCCACGTGGCTTTGGCAGAAGAGAAAACTGTGACTAAACTGGGGAAATGTTTGGACTCCTCCTTCCCTTACTCTGAACACATTGGGGAAAAAATCTTCAGAAAAGAGTTTTGGCTGTATTTCAAGCTGTTTCAAGATCCAGTTGAGTGCACACATATGAGCCTTACCAGTGGTCAAGGACAATAGAGGGGTGGGGGCATGAGTGTGGGGGGGATTGGAATGGGGAGTTGAGGACAAATATGTGATGCCTTAATCAATAAATTAATAATAATAATAAAAAAGATCCAGTTGAGGGTGTCTAAGAAGGACAGAGTCACACCAGCCTGCCTGGTCTCCCTGCAGAGCAGGCCTTCCCTGCTCCTGAGAAGGAAGGAGTCAGGAGCCTCTTCCCCTGGCCAGGTCTGTTCTCACGTAGACTGCTCCCCGGTGCGTGAGAGCAGACCAGGTTTGGGACTGTTCCAGGGAAAAGCTAGAACATGGAGGGGCTCCTGCGCACCCCCACTCCCCTCCAGGCTGGTTGTGGGTCATCTGGGAGTGGCAGGAGTGGATCGGGAGGGACTCTGTTCCCGGCTACATCAGGCAGCCCAGCAGGCGGCTGGCCTACGACACTGCCTTTGTGCTTCTCACCTTTGGTACCAATGGCACCAGGCAGCAGGGGGGAAGGGTGTCTCTGGCCAAGCAAGGCACCTCAAGAAGATAAGAGCCAGCCCCTGCAGGCATCCGATGCAGGAAGAGGTAGAGGCATTCCCTGATGAGGTGGATGGGGCAACATTTCCGAGGGCAAGTAACTAATCCCACTGATCACGTTTCAGTATTTGAAAAATGCCAAACAAGTATGGACTATATGAGTTAATTTTTTCTTTCTAAGAAAAACAAAGACTAAAATCAGAATATTTTTGCCTGACCGGCATGGCTCAGTGGTTGAACATTAACCTATGAGCCAGGAGGTCATGGTTCAATTCCCAGTCAAGGCACATGACCAGGTTTAGGGATCGATCCCCAGTGGGGCACATGCAAGAGACAGCCAATCAATGATTCTCTCTCATCATTGATATTTCTATCTCTCTTCCTCTCCCTTCTTCTCTGAAATCAACACAAATATGTCTTAAAAATAAATAAAAAAACAGGATATTTTGAAAAAATAAACTACTACGTGTGATTGAAGCTTTATATTTTCTTATCAATATATAAGCAGTATTTTTTTGTAATGATAAAAATGGAAGCTTTGAATAAATCTTTGCTAAGTCTTACGTAAAACGTAGAAAGAATAGTGGAGGTTATCTAGCTCTATTAGACAAATAATAACTTCCTTTCGGAAAACAGTTAAACCTAAGTTGAAACAATTAAAGAGTCATTAGGCTTAGTAACTATTGTCAGAGCAACCTAAAAGCAGTTCTGAATTTAATCCTTGCAGACTGTATTTCCCAAAACAGCCCACACCCAAAATAAGCTCCTCAAAATGCCCCTCAATCCCCCGGCCCTTCCTTCCTCCTTACCTTCTGATTCTAGTTTTTCTGCGTTGAGAGGGCTGGTTGGTGATCCTGTAGAGGACTTCCTGCCGCTGAGCCCTGAGATCATTGCCATAGAGGACAGTCTCCCGATGGCTCTCACAGCATTGCCCGTTTTCTGGAAAGCAGACACTGGGGTTGGACTCGGGCGGCGCCCCTGGGTCCCGCCGGGCAGTGGGGCTCAGGGAGGGGAGCCCAGCCCAGCAGAGGCAGCCGTCCGTGGACCGAGGGCCTCCCGAGCTCCGAGGTCCTGCCAGAAGAGTGAGCCCGACCTTGCTCTGCTCAGCACTATCAGCGTGTCAGAAGATGTTCGGAGAATGGAATGGGGCCTGGAACCGATGTGTGCGTTAATGTGACTAAACAAGGTCAACATGAGACAAAAACCCTTTTCATACTGTGCTTCAACTCCCATAAAAGGGAGAGTTTATATAAAGCAGCTGCAGGCTGAGACAGCTCCAAAGACTTATTGCTGACGGGGCGCAGCAGGGCTGTTTCTTGTAAAACAATGCCAGTGACAGGCTTGCAATTGGACAAGAGGATCGTTACTACAGATCCCACAGGTCCTCGTGCAAGTGGGAAAGCGGCACACTATTGACCTCGGTGAGCCGTTTGACCTCCCCGGGCTGGCCTCCTTCTCTGCGTGAGGAGGGGTTGGACAAGACTCCAAGGTCTCCTTTAGCTCTGTGGCTGATTCAGTATTCCCAAAATACTTAAGAGATTTTGGGAAACAGTCTGGATGGCCCGGCACAAGTCCATGAACGCACAGTGAAGTTCTGGGGGGTGCTTTTCCCTGGGGTACACCCAGGCATCAAAAAGCACCCCGGAGAGATGCAAAGCAATGGCATTTTGGCTTTTCTGAGTCGAGGCACCTTGGGCGTGGACAGAATTTCTGCTGAGAAGGAAGCCAGAACCTGAGATGAAAAATTCTTTGCCGTGTGAAAATTCTACCAAGCATAGGATTTAGGTCAGAGAGGTCCCCGATAACATACAACGCATCTATGGTTCTTACCTTTAATTAGAGTTTCTTACTCCCTTTCTAAAGTCCATGGAAACACTAAGATAGGAAACTAACGTGTAACCAACTGCTCCCACCCAAAGCATCTTTTCTGGCACCCAGACGCTGTGCATGCAGAGAGCAAGCAGATGCCGGCGCAGACTGGCTGCTGAGAGATGGAGGACACCGGCAAAGGGCTCCCACTCACCCATCGGACCTCAGACTGTGCCAGAGCCACTTCCCTCGTTATCCTCATACATTCAGGTATTTCAGCAAAGCCTCACAACTCTGGACTAGCAGGGAAGCCAGTATGCTTTAGTAAAAAGATTGTTTCCAAAGTAAAGAATTTCAGGCCACTAAGGAATCATATAGAAAAGTGTGTGTGTGTGTGTGTGTGTGTGGTGTAAGCTGTGGCCTGAGGCTATGGCCATGATCACTTTCTGTTGAACATGCCATCGGTGTTGCAGACTGTTTTCATGCACTTTGGACAGACATTCCATCTTGCTCTGTCCTTGCCCATCCACCCTCTCAAATACATCACTGTGGGTGTGGGCATGCTTCTGGCCCTCCGTCACTGGGTGAAACTGGGTCACTCTGAACAGAACCCAGGAAGCCTGCGGTGGAGGTGATGAGGGGAAGCAGGTGAGAGGCGATGATGGAGTCACAGCTCTGCGCAGAGGCACTGTGGCCCTGCAGAGAACGAGACCATTTGGCAATCTCAGGTGCTCTTCTGGCGGAGGCCGCTACACTGATCTGTTTGATGTGCTGGCGAGAGTGTTGAGAGACCCAGCTTTTCCCGTGGGAGCTTACTCCGACCTCAGGAACGCGTGAGAGACAGGCAGCCATCCCTACAGAGCCAACATCAGGCCACGCTGCTTCCTACTCAGCCAGATTCTCAGTGTCTGCCCTTCCTTCTCCATCCCTGTGTCCTTTACCCAATGCAGAGAGGTTTGCCCTGGCCAGGAGTCTCTAAGTGCAGAGAGTTCATTCCCAATAAGGGACTGGTTATTCTTGAACCACTGATTACTATGTGACCTTCTGCAAGTTTGTTCCCTTCCCTGGGCCTCATGGCCTTGAACCAGAAGATTCCAATCTCCCTGTGGCTGTGCTCTTCCACAGAAGACTAGGATTCATGTTCGAGAATATGCAGCTGGGAACACCCATCAACCCCCGAGCCCTTGGGCTCCTAATTCGAAACACCAGGATGGTTTTCGCTTCCATAGTGTGGAATAATGAAGTCTTTCCTTGTCTATTAACAACATGATTAATACGAAGTTATCAGAACAAGGCAAACAAAGGAGTTATGATATTTCCAAGAAGGCAGCAAATTCACATTAACAAATGGACCATAACAGGGGGACATTTTCCATTAGTTGGAGTGAGATAGCATATAATTTCTAAAACAGGGAGAAATGTATGTGCTTAATAAGGGGAAAAAAATTAAAATAATCTATGCCAGAATTCAATATTTGAAAACTCATTTATGCGGGGGAAAATAGGCCAGGCCAGTGTGGCTCAGTGGTTGAGCATTTGACCCATGAACCAAGAGGTCACCGGTTCAATTCCTGGTCAGGGCACTTGCCCAGGTTGTGGGCTCAATCCCCACTAAAGGCCATGCAGGAGGCAGCTGATCAATGTTTCTCTCTCCACGATGTTTCTATATCTCTACACTCCCTCCCTCTCTCTCTAAAGTCTATAAAAAACATATATTTAAAAAATTTGGTAAGGAAGTTATTTGTCAGAACTGGAAAAGAACTATATTATTTGTATATGCCTTTGAGTTGAAAATTGGTTGCTGTTTTACTTAATTAAGACCTTTGGAAATTTTTGGAACATCAAGGCAGCACGTTTCAATTCCCTAAGCTCCACCCTTGTTTGTTGGAAGCCTTTTTCTTGTTCGAGGGCCATGGCCAGGCTGGTCCTGTGCTGCACACAGGCACCGTCTGTACCAGCCTCTCCGAGGCAGCAGCTCCCCTCTCCTGAGAGGACTCACCAGCCCACGCGCCCAGGACGGAGGGCTTCCCAGGATAAGGGTCTGTCAGTGCTAGACCTGAGGCAGTCCCTGGCCAATGGGCAAGCTAGTTACCTAAGAGCCAGCCAGCGGTCAGAGACCCTTTAGACACCAACAGCCCCACGATCAGAATTTCCTGAGAAGTGCATGACATCCAAACGTGACAGACAAGCGTCCTCAGTGCTACCCTGTGCCCAAAGCTTTCCTCCCTATGGCCCTTCGGTCCATGCTGCTGGGGTCTTCGTGGTTCCCAGAAAGTAAAGATGGTTGTCCACGGGCCTCCAAATTCCTAGTCCTTTGCTTCTAGTTTTGCATGCAAAAGCCCTGTTATCCTGTTCGGCTTGCCCACCCTCCAGGCTCTACTCACCACCACAGCTTTTAGAAACTCTTTCAGGTATAATTGGAAGAACATACCTTCTTTCATAATAGTTTTATTCTAAGATCAATAATATGATTAGCCATCTCTATAATGCCTAGTGTATAGGGATTTGTTTCCATGTTGCTTCCTCCCTCTTGGGCCTCTCATGAATACCACACGAGAAGGAAAACAAGGATCTTTCTCTTGGGAATCTGTAGAGAGTTCTGGGCTTGCTCTCTCCCTCCTCTACAGCCCACCCCACTGTTTCACTGCACCCCGCCCTGCTCCTCACTGCTCTGACCGGGAACCTATTCCAGGACAACTAAGGTGCTGGTGCCTGGAGTTCAAAATGTGGGAAACATTGCCGTGGCCGGTTTGGCTCAGTGGATAGAGTGTCGGCCCACAGACGGAAGGGTCCCAGGTTTGATTCTGGTCAAGAGCACGTACCTCAGTTGCGGCTCAATCCCAGGCCTCCATTGGGGCCCATGTGGGAGGCAACCAATCAATGTGTCTCTCCCCTTCCCTTCTACTCTCCCTAAAAATCAATGGGAAAATATCCTCGGGTGAAAATTAACATAAAAAAATGCGGAAAACATTTTCCCAAGAGAGCAATGTAACACAAGATGATCAGACGGAGCTAAACTGTTACCAGTGAAATTATGCTTCAGGGACAAGATGGGTCAAAAGGGATTGCGTGGTCTACTCCTGTGAAGCCTAACTATTGCATCTGTGGAAAAATCATTTCCAAAGGCTCCCACCCAAATTAAAAAATGACTTTAAAATTCCTTCTCTGAATTCTGCCCTTTTCTCCCAGAATTTCTGCCCCTCACTTCCAGAAAACCCTCTGACTAATAACAGTGTAAACAAGAAAAAAAAAAAAAATTAAGTGATTAAAATACCAGCACAAATTTATGGTTCCCTGACCCCTTGGACTAAAAAATTCCATTTGCTTCCTCTCTCATTTCCTTATCTCTTCTCTGTGCCTGTCCCGGGGTGTGTCGACAGCAGATGCACCTACTCGGGAGAGCAGGCAGAGCCACGTGCCGCCGCTGAGGACTGCCCTCCCCCCACCCAGCCCCTGCTTGCCCTGGAAATCCCGCTATTTCTTTGAGATCTGTTGGCCACAGGACCATTAATAAAGTCCTCCTTTGATTTTTGTGGCCTCCATCTTGCTGCGTTTTGTTTGTAAGAATATGTGCTACTCCGATGATTTCACTGGATGCTCATGGCACCAGAGGGTAAGGTGAGCAGCACAGTCTCTCAACTTGCCTGTCCCTTGAGGGCGGCCAGGTCCACCTAACCCTCCACACCGGGTGGGGGTGGGGTGGGCGTGGGGATCAAGAACTGACTCCGCTGTGGGGAGCTCATAGTCCCTGTACCACCCACCTGAAGCCCCTCCCCCGCCTCTGCTCCTTCTCCCTGCCTTTGTGGGGAGTGTGGTTTCTGAGGGAACTGTAAAGTCATCCTGAGCAGCAGATACCTGGTGTCCCAGTTGCCCCTAAAACAATGGTTCCTTTTTCTCTGCCACAGGCAGGCCTCAATGCCCAGCCCCCTGACTGCCCAGCAAACAGACGGTTCCTTTCAGGTCAGCGCAACCCGGGAGGTTCGGCCTCTGCCTTTCTCCTCTGTCTGTGCTGTCACCCGCTCTGTGCTCCCGCCCGGACAGCACTTCCTCACAACCACATCCACGCCCGGCCGGCTGGCTCCCTTCTCCTGTCTGCACTCACATATATGGTATGGAGAGCTATAGCGATGGTTTATAATTCCTGCTGGGTGTTCCGTCCTTTTATGTCTATTTGCTTCGGTCCCTCCACTACACTATACGTTCCTGGAGCACAGAACCCAGGCACCCTCCTGTAGCCCGGGAGTTTTATCACACTGACGGTGAGAGTAAAACGATACAGTAGAGGATGATAAGTTCTCTGGTTTCGGATACGTTTTACCCATCTGCTAAAACCGAAGGCAATTTTGTATTGTTGAGACAGTGTGCTTTGGAGCCAGGCTCTGTGTTTGAATCCTGCCTTTCTCACCGACTTAGCTAAGTGATTCTGCGCGACGTTCCTAACCTTTCTCTGCCTCGGTTTGTTTGAAAAGTGGGGGATAACATTAATCAAGGATTAGGAGACTTGATGCATAGAAAGTGCTCTGAATGTTCTCTAGCACAGAGCCAGCCTTCCATACATATGAGCTGCTGGTGTCATTTTTGAACACGTGCTATGTAGCAGGCACTGTGCTAAAGGTCAGATGAAGATTATCCTATATAATAAAAGGCTACTATGAAAATCGCCTGAATGGTGGAACGACTGGTTACTATGACACACGCTGACCACCAGGGGGAAGATGCTCGATGTAAGAGCTGCCCCTGGTGGTCAATGCGCTCCCACAGGGGGAGCATCACTCAGCCAGAAACCCTGAGTCGGGCTCAGAGAGGGCAGTGGTGGTGGCAGGAGCCTCTCCCACCTCCACTACGGATGTCTGACTGCTGACGTAGGCCTGTATGGGGAGTTGGACATCCCCTGAGGACTCCTGGACTGCAAGAGGGCACAGGTCAGGCAGAGGACCTCCAGTGCACGAATTTTGTGCACGGGGCCTCTAGTATCATATAATTCTCCTAACAGGGCTGTGACATTGCTACCACTACTATCCCCACTTTACAGATGAGAAAACAAAGGCACCACAAGGGTAAGTCACTTGTCTAAAGACACGTAGCTAGCTAGTAACATACAATATTCCTGGAGGGTGGGGCCAGGTCTCCTTGTAGGCCATGTGCTCTCCCCCTTCATTGCAAAGAATTGTTAGACCATCACACCGCCTTTAAGGAGACCACGTTTTCTATGGCTGCCACATGGTCCCAAAGGTGCTTATCCCTAGCCCCGAAGACCCAAAATGCCAGTCTTGGTCCCAGACTATTTCAGAAAAAGATTTAAACATGTTTGGAGTGAGGCCGGGGCAAGTTGGGAATGAGGATGGCTTGAAAAAGCACACAGGAGAAGCAACATTCCAGTCCAGAGCGAGCATCTCGTTACCTGCCATTTCCTTCTGGCCATGTACTTCTTCATCCGGTCCTTGGAGAGCTTCTTGGCCTCCATGGTCTTGGTGTCTTTCATGAGCCACGGATGCTGAAGGCACTGGGTGCAGTTCAGGCGGTTTCTGACAGAGGCAGAGATCAGGGGATTTCTAAGCAGGAGGGGACTCAGAGACGGATGTGAGACCAGAAATGGGAGGGCGCCTGTCCCCCGTCACACACGGCAGAACCCAGGACATCTGCTCCCAGTCCGTCCACCATGACCAGGTCACTGCGCTGCTGGCCCTCTCCCTCTCTTGGTCTGGGTCACAGACTGGATGCAGAATAGGTCACAGTAAAGAAGGCCTTAAGCGACTGGAGCCTCGTGACCTGTTCTTGGGTCTGGGATGGGCAAGTGTGGGAGGGCAGGTGTGTCTGGGAATGGCGGACACCACACTGCAGAGTGGGGTCAGTCTGCGGGTCAAGTGGGAGCTGGAGGCTATGGAGGCCTGATCCACCTCTCTGCCTCAGAGATTAGGCCCAAATCTCTGAGAATCCCTACACTCTCATGTCTCATGTTGAGGCTGAGTAACAGGTTTTTCCTGTTAAAACTCAAAGAGCGATGTCCTACATACCATCTATGCATTATGATAACTTTAGAACCACGCTGAAACTCGTTTATTCTTTCTGAAAGCTCTGGGAATCTAGAAATATTTCAGGGCCATCATCTTAATAGAACTAATAAAGCCCAAAGAACCAAATGTTAACATACGTAGAAAAATGAGTGTACTCTAAGTACATTTGCTAAGTATAGGAAAGTGTACTGATTTTTAGATAAAGGGACGATGAATGACCTTAATTTTCTTATATTCAAATTTTCTATAATTTGCATGTATTACTTTTATAACAGGAAAACATTTTAAAAAGTGCTGCCAGATGAGGACTTGCGGTGGAAGAGACGTGCTAAGTTTGAGAGTTTATGAAAATATAGCGTCTCGGTCTGTGTAAAATCAGTGCTGAGGAGAGGGCATTTCATGAGCATAGAGGAGCCAACAAGCTCACTGAATGAATTCATTCAAGGTCAGATGAGAAAATAACGTACTATATTCATAGCACCTCCTTTCCCACATCCTCAGCGAGTGAAGCCATCCTTGGACCAGCTATTGGGAAAGAGGTGTGCGTCTCCCAGGGACCCTTTGGGAGTGCTGACCCCGCTTACCGCACGGGAAGGATTCTAGACAGCTTCCCCTTAGGGCGTGCCTACTCTTACAAAGGCCAGACAGAAAACGTGAGGACCTCACTGCCAGGGAGTGTGGAGTGCAGCCTCTGGAGAAGTCAGCCCTGAGGTTGCTAAAAAGAGACCCTCCAACACTGCTCCTTTAGCAACCACACTCTCCTGTCCCAGGCAGGGCTTGCGGGAGTGAGGGGCGTAGGAAGAAGGAGGGAGTAAGTCCACCCACTCGCTCTGGGGGAATCCTGGTCAGGCAGGCGCTGAGATTGCAGAGCCTCCTGCCTGCCCTGGAAGTGGGCTGCCCCTCCTTTCTCATCCTCGTTCACATCACCTATTTCAACAGAGCCCTTCTTGGGCCAAGTCTGTAACTGCTTCTTATTGCCCAAGACGGCTCCTCAGCCCTGCCTCCTCTGGCCACCTGTCTAAGGAGGGGGCAGGGAGCCCAACTGTCCAGGTGCTCTCAAGGAACCCCTGCTATTCCCTTCCCCTGGGGTAGCCAGCTCTCCACACACACACACACACACACACACACTCACACAGACACACACTCACACACACACAGACACACATTCACACAGACACACACTCACACTCACACACACACACACACACACACTCACACAGACACATACTCCACACACACACTCACACAGACATACACTCACACTCACACACACACTCACACAGACACACACTCACACACACAAACACACACACACACTCTCACACACACACACACACACACACATTCACACACACTCACACAGACACACACACACTCATACTCATACAGACACACACTCACTCACACAAACACGCACACACGCAGCCCCTCTCACCTTCCCGACTTGCTTTAGCTGGTTCCCCTCACCAGGTGAGTCCTCATGGATGAATTCTGTCTGCCACACCCAAGGCCTCCTCCAACCTCACCGCCTCGGCAACTCCAGCCTCGAGTCTTTGAATGCCGTGCTGAGTGCCTTGTAGGTCTGACCTTCCCTACAGCCTCTTCCTATGCGACTGCACACACCACACGGGCCCCCTTTTCACGTTTTATAGGTTCACCCACAGACCCCTCGGCAGCCCCAGGCAGCCCGAGAAGGTGGAGGTGGGGAACCTCAGAGTGCACTGTGCCGGGGACAGAGATGGAGCCGGGAGAGGCCTGAGCCCCGCCGTCTGGGATCACAGCGTCACTCTGGACAATGCAAGAGGTGCCTGGGCCATATTCAGGCAGAGTTCTTAAACCATTTAGATATAAAAACCACCAAACCAGAACGGTCTGGAGGTACAGTCAGGACCCACAGATGGGACATGCTGTGCAACCCTGAGAAGGGCTGAGGTTCCAGCAGGGCTTCCCCGGGCCAGGACCAGACAGGGAACATAAAAGGGGCCGTCACGCTTCATGCACAAGCAGCCACCCTCCCTGCGGCCCCTGGCTGAGGGCTGCTTTTCAAATGAGGTCTCAGTGCTCTTAAAGCCGAGTGGAGTGTCTGGCACAGGGGAGCAGGGGCCTAGGAAGACCCTTCCCTCCTCATCCTCCACATGCACCATGTCCTCCTTCCCTCCCAGGTGAGGAGGGACCCACGACAGGCATAGGAAGTCCCTGCCTCCAGACCCCAGCCCAGGGCCCGGGGAAGCTGAAAAGATGGAGATCTCAGCGCATTACTTCATGTCCTTCTTCAGCAAGCTGCTGATGAAGTCCTTGGCGTCGTCAGAGATCTCGTCGAATGCCTCGTCGTCGAAGTCCCAGGTGGCTGAGGTGACGTTGGCCAGGGTCTCGTTATCGTTGTCGCCCATGAAGGGGGAGAGTCCACTGACCCTGGGAGGAGAGCAGGAGAGCAGGTGAACTGGTAGTGGTGGTGGTGGTGGTGGTGGTGTAAGGGAGCAAGGAGGATAGGATGAGATGATCCCCCAAGGGAGTGCTGAGGTCAAAGGTGAGGGCCGGCAAAGCTCTGCACCCCCAAACAAACACCCACCTCTCCTCCCGCCTGGGGAAACAAGAGAGGATGTGGCTCCCCAGGCTTTCGTGGCCCCGCCTCTTCTCGGTGCTCCCTGTATTTTGGGGTGTCTCTGCGCACTATCTGCTGGTGAGGCCAAGGCCGAAGGAATTTACTTCCGTTGACACAGTTCGCAGCAGGACACCTCCTCCCTTTCTTCTGTTCTCCCCCGGCCCCAGGCTGGAACTTCTCCCACAGAACCTTCGCAAGGTCCCTGTGCTCCTGCCCCTCCCACGCTGGTCACACGGTAAACAGCACCCACTGCTGCACCCGCCGGTCCTGCTCCCGTCAGCACCCAGAGGGCCCAGCACACAGAAAGCTCAGCAAGGCTGTGGGGGCAGATGGATGGTGAACATGGAATCGCAATGTGGGCTTCGTGGCCCATCTACCCTCAAGTTCAGTGCCCCGAGGCATTTAGGCCAAAGCAGGAAGCTTCCACAGAGGCGCCACCACAGTGGAGGAAAGGGCAGGCCTGTTTATTCCCTGGGTGGCCTTGGACATTCCCTAAGCACTCTGTGAACCTACTGAACCACAGGGCGGTCACCGCCTCTACTTTTCCCCTCCTCCTTCCCCTTCTCCATCATCACCGTCACGGCAGCAAATCCTCACTAGACAGTATGTGCCAGGCACTGGACAAAGAGGTGAACTCATTCAACCATAACATCACCCTACAGTGCAGGTAACTCATGAGTTTAACAGATGAGGAAACCGAGGCACAGGGGAGGGGAGGGCGGTAGTAAGTAACTTGCCCAAGGATTCACAGCCAGTGAGATTTGAACCTAGGTGTTGCAAATGCAGAACCAGTTCAAAATAGTCTTATCCTGTTTTACAAGATATGAGTTACGTTTCAGAGGCCACAGACCAAAACCCCAACATCACGCAGCCAAAGCATGCACAGAGAACAAAACTTTGACCTCCAGCTGGGCCTGGACCCATAGTCTCCCCTGCTCACCAGTCACACACGGAACCAAAGGACTGGGACATCACCGGAACCTGAATGCCACATCCCTTTCAGAGCAAAGGATCCGCTGTTCAGGAGATGCAGTGAAGAAGCCCTTACCATAAACGGCCAAGTTCCAAGGTCTTACATCAAAACCTGCCTCCTCCAGCGCTTCCGCACACGTGGTCCCCCAAGCTCCTTAAAAACCCTTAACTAGTCCACCAAGCAAGATGGTTTTGAGGCATTGCTAAGTCTCCCACCTCTGTTGCTGCCTTCTCGATCAATACACCTTTCTTTACTCCAAACTCTGACATTTTGAGTTTTGCCATTCGGAGCATCGGGCACAGGAACTTGGGTTTGGTGACAGCATCTGTCTCTAGAGCCTGACTCTTACCTGCAATGTTATACAAACCTTTCCATGAACATGAAGTCAATGGTAGTGCAGGGACCTGCAGGAGGCCGGGTCTACTGGAAGTTTGGGGCCCATGACCACAGACATTACCCTTCTTCTGTATACAGTCCCTCCCACTGCCTCCCCAGTCTGTGATCTCGGGAATGACTCCTTTACCCATAGTGTACTCCGGGTTAAAATTCGAATGGTAAAAGCTCAAAAAAGAATAGAACAGCTTTACGGCTTTCTGGCCTCACCTCTCACCTCTGAGGAATTCATTGTCACACCGTGCACCCACTCCCCTTTCACCCTGATCGAGGGCCAGCCTCCACGTTGCACAGGGCCCCACCCTTTGATGCCCTCCCTGCCTTGGTTTAATATTCTGCTACTTTTATCTGGAGATTCTTAGTGTTTGGACAACTCAGCCCACTTTTAAGTTTCATACTGGGCCCCACAGATTAGGTAGCTGGTCCTGCGCTGACCCCTCCTGAACCCCATGAGATGACTTTGGGGGCATTTCTGCTATCAACTTCCCAAGTTAAGGCTTCACGAAATTCAGTCTCCCAAATCCTTAGGAGCCCATCATTATAAACAACCACACAAACCCTTTGGGAGCTGTTTTGGCATTCAAGGCCCTCAGCCTATGAAATACATCTGTCCCTGCCAAAACCGGTTTGTCTCAGTGGATAGAGTGTCGGCCTGCTCCGGTCAAGGGCATGTACCTTGGTTGTGGGCACAATCCCCAGTAGGGGGTGTGCAGGAGGCAGCTGATGGATGTTTTTCTCTCATCTGTGTTTCTGGCTCTCTGTCCCTCTCCCTTTTTCTCTGTAAAAAATCAATAAAATAAATTTTTAAAAAAATAGAAAAAGAAAAAAGAAATATACCTGTTCCTGAAAATGAAGTTTTGTAAAACAAAACCCACTGAAATACTGTGAGAAAACCTTGCCGTGGAAGAAACCTTCTGGTGTGACCTTTTGTGAGGAGAAGCTAGCTCTGGTAATGTGAATGATCTCACCCTAATCAATAGACTTGCGTTTTAGAATAACCGATTTTTATAGATGGCCTTAGAGAGTCTTAGTCTCTGATTTATGTTTTAAGAATGCAGGGAGATCATCCTTCTCGGTCACATTCACTGGGGGAAGGGTGGGAGCTTATCGGTCCCCTGAGTCTACAGTGTTACATGCCACTCCCTTCCTGCTGGGGTCCCAGTTTCCCCTTTTATACACCAAGGGTGTTGGCCTAGCCTTCCCAGGCACTCCCAGCTTTCCCATCCCTGCCATCCCGTGTGACCTGTTAAAAAAAAAAAAGGAATAACAGGCCCAAGATGGAGTCATTTGTTCTCACGACATCAGACCAAGATTTAATTGTAACTTTAACCTCTTCCAGAAATGCGATCTTTAAACAGTCAATCTGAAACTCCCCAATTAGCCCTACGGAGGTAATCTGCACAAGAAAACCCTGCTGGTCTCTTCCCAATCCTCTTCCCTCCCCAAAGAAGAGGACCGGGCCTGAAATAATCCTTTCTTTTCTTTCCCTATGACTCCTTCTGCCTATGAAACCCTTCCATTTCATACTGCCACTGGGAGCATCTCTCTCTTTACTAGATGGGACGTTGCCTGATTTATGAATCGTTCAGTAAAGTCAATTCCACCTTCACATTTACTCCGCTGAAGTTTTGTTCTTTAGCAGATCTAAGGTAGGCCCACCAAGAAGTAGCCCAATTCCTGCTAGTCAGCCACCTGCTTCCTTCTGTTTTGACATTTCCATTTGAAAGAGAGAGAGGGGAAAGTCCTGCAGCACTCCGATGAAAGATTGCAGAAAAAGCAAACAACCCAGCTGTGGAATGCTGCAAGGCCCCCTTCTGTAAACCTCCTTTCCTAATTAGGAATTGTAATCCTGCAAAGACAGGCCTTAATCTCTGTAATGCTCACAGCCAGGGAGAGCCTCCAAACCTCTGGCCTCTGGTGCTCTTCCCTCCTGGCAGCCCATCCATCTGAAATGCCCCCGAGCTCCAGCTGGCTCCCCGCCTGACTGAACTCCCCCAGCATCTCCCCTTAAAGAGTGTGCCTCTAAAATAAAACTTGGAATTTGTGCAGAGCGTGATAACAAAGAGAGTGTTCTAATTTTAGCGATGCTGTTCCTGGGTGGTGGGATTTTATAGATTTTTTTTTAAACTTTCTTTGAAGTTTTACTTTCTTGCCAGGATTTACATAAGGATTAAGCATCCTTTGATTAAAAAAATTAACCCAATAACAAACAGAATAATGTTAGCCTTAAAACTCAACCACTCACCTCTATTCCTACTCTTGCTTAGTTTTTAATGGACCCCAAATATGGCATAAGGATTGTCCTGAGCTGAAGACAATTAGCTCTCTGCCCTCTCTCTTTCTGTCTAAAAGCAGGACATAAATTTCTCTTTGTTAAGTGATATAAATTTCCATTTGTAGAGGAGACTCTTATATGCATAACAAACTTGCTAAACAATCCTTATTGACCATACCTTTCTTAGAACCTTCTAACAGCTTAATCCCTCCAGAAGTTTCAAGACCCTTTTCTCTGGCCTAATGATTTATCTCCAATATATCGCTCTTTATTAAAACCTACACTAACAAAAGAGAAAGATGCAAATTGACCATACCTCTGTGATGGCCACCAGCCAATCAAGAGGTATATGCAAATTTGAAGGACAAAGATGCCCCCGCCCCCTGCCCAGCTGCTCCAGGTGCAGAATGGCTGGGTGGGAAAGGATGCCTGCTATGAGAGGGAGGGCAGTGGGTGAAGGGATCTACAGGAGCGGCACTCTGGCTGCAGTGAAGACAAAGAGGGCAGATTCCAACCCGAGTCAGCAGCGAAGATGAAGAAGGCAGACTCTGTCCAGGGTCTGCAGCGAAGATAAAAGATTCTGGCTGGAGTCTGCAGCAAAGACAAAGATGGCAGACTCTGGCCAGAGTCTGCAGCAAAGGCGGCAGGCTCCAGCTGGAGCAAAGACAGAAGGCCTGTGTCCCAGGTGCCGGGAGCCAGGGGAAGGAAGGCCTATTGCACAAATCTTTATAAGCTTCAGATTCTAACTGCCTCCTGGAGTCACATTTATTTCTCTCATATGCATATGTATCATACATAGTCAAATCTGTTTCCCCACCCCCTCCTGTTAATCTGTCTTTTGTCAGTTTGATTTGCAGGCTCCCACTACTGAACCTAAAAGGGCAGAGGAAAATTTTTTTTTCCTCCCCAACTTGACCAAAGGATTCATCTGGGTTTCACAAAATTGTTATCAGTGTGGGCAAGTTTTTGGATGCTCTTTTCCTCACTTGAAATAGTCTTTCACCAGTGAGCACAGAGTCTTCATGTTCATTTTTAATGGTCAAATATTAGTCTTTGTGCTGATGAGTCCCAATGGTCAGTTCTGCAGGATGTTCTAATTTCTTAATTCCTCACTGCAGCAAAACTCCGCCCAGGGAATCTGATGCACAGTCTGTTCTGCTCTCAGGGCAGAATGGCAGGAGAAAGGTGAACCCTTCCTCTAACAAAGAGAAGTGCTTCTTGGACTACACTTTCCTCGAGGTGTTTTTCAAGCAGCAGAAGACCAGCTGGCTGCAAGAACGGCCAGTTAAGGAGACCAGACATTTGCTAGCAGAACTACTGATAGCTTAGGAAGAGTCCGCCTTTGATCCCATTTCAGCCTTCAAATACTGAAGTGTGGTGAGAGAACTGAGAGAGGGTGGGCAGCTCCCACAGGAAGAGCTGGGAATCATATTGTGCATGGCCTAGGAAGCAGAGAGCTGAGATCTAGTCATGCTAAGCACCACCCAAGAACCTGCAGGTGGTGGCTGGGCTTGGTGTGGGTATGGGGTACCCGAGGAGCTGGACTCAGAGAGATGTCTGGCTCATCAGTGGAGAGGAGGGCTGCCCTGGGTGGGGCCACTGGATCCCTCTGAAGAGCCCTCATTCAAACCCAAGTCTGAGTCCGTACCTGATGCTTTGCCCCAGTCCACCGCCTGCTGTCCCCAGAAGTTAGATCTGATGGGGTTGACTCTGGCTCTCTCAAGGCAGGTGCTCAACAAATGAGCAGAAATGGAAAGTCTCTCACTGACCCAGCCAAGAAGATGGTTGGGAGGAGAAAGCAGAGCAGTAACTGCTCTTTACCTTGGTTTGAGGGAAGTGAGAGAGAAGGAATGCTGGAGCAGGCGTGAGGGCTGGGCACAGAGAGGGGTTTGGTGTCCTTGCAGGCAGTGAGGGAACACCAAGTGCTCGGGGAATAGAAGACAGGGAGGTAGGAGAGGAAGGTCTTAGAAAAAAGGTGGGGCTTAGAATTTCTTCCACATAGAAGTGTGGCCTAGAGCACCCCGTCCTCTCTTTCCTGCCAGAAATCAAGTAGGTTTTTCTAACACGAGAAGAGTCTCCAGGAGATTCACGAAATCGACGGTCTCTCTTCAGAACAGGGATGAGAGGGGAAGGGCCCCATAGCCCTGCCTGCTGCATCTCTACTCTGCCTGGAAAAGCCCGGCAGGCAGTGGGGCCAGGTGTCAGCCCCAGGACTGGCTCTGCCCTGACCTCTCCCGGGGCTTGAGGAGTCCCTCAATCTACAAAGACAGCAGGCAGCACTGGCTGCTTAAGAGGCGCTCACAGACATGTGTGAAATAATAAATGTCATCACCTGTCCCCCAACTCCCTGGTTCCCCCATCTCTCCCTGGCCTCAGGAAGGAGATGAAGGGCTTGGGGAGGAGGTTGTCTGGTACACATGCAGAAGGTGGCCTCGACAGGAACGGTCAGACAGACAACCAAGCTCCACAGAGAGGGACGGGATACACAAAAATGCACTCCCCTCTCGGTAAAGCTTCTGTAACTGTGGCAGGGGCACCTCCTAAGCCTGGCTGTGCGGCAGGGACACCAGAGAGCTCTTCTGGGTGCTCCAGCCGTGGCTCCAGGTTTCTGCACAGCAGGCCTGGGAGGAAGCAATCTGGCTGGTTCCAACAGCTGTTTTGGCACCATGTGCCCTGCTGAGAGCCCTAGCTTGGGAGGGAACTGCCCAACCTCAATCCCACTGTGAGAGGCAGCGGGGAAAAGTCCCAGCAGGCAGAGCACCCATAGCGATGGGTGCTGGACCCTGGGGCGGGGGTGGAGAGGGGGCTCCTGGGGGCTGAGCAGGGCAGACCACACACCTCTCTTCCCTCTCCACCTCCCCTTCCCCAAACAACTTCAGGCTGGTGCTCCACTCATCAGAATCATTTTCTCCCCATTTCAAAAGCTCTGCCCTACTTCTTGGTCTTTGCTTTAGAAACAATCTAGTAAACAATATAACACATTATCTCAATTACTATGTTCCTCCACCTGAAAGGATTTTCATTTCAAAATGAAGTGCCCTTATGACCTAGTGATTCCAGTTGTGGATTATATATGTCCAACGGAAATGCATAAATATATTCACTACCACACGTGTAATCTGAACCCTTGCAACACCCGACTGGAATCTACTCAAAGGCCCATCCATCAACATAGAATAGACACACAAGTGGGATGATGCTTCACAGTGGACCCTGCACAGCACCGAGAATGAGCGGCTACAACTACACACAATAACATGAGTGTGTCTCACAGTCAGTGTTGAGCAAAAGAAGCCAGATGTGTCTTTCTGGGTGATTTCATTTATATCAGGTTCAAGAAAAGGCAGAACTAACGCATGTCCTTAGACCTGAGGATTATAGCTACACCCACGGGGATAGTAACTGGGCGGGCACTAGGAGGGCCCCGGGGCACTGGGAATGTGTGGTTCATGATCTGGGTGTGGGTTAGGCAGATGTGTCCCTGTGAACACGTCCTGAGCAGTTTAGTCACTGCTCTATCCCTGACCAGCGGGGAGACCAAAGGCCCTAGTTGGCCCGGGACTGTCCTCGCTTTGGTACCTAAAAGTCCTGTATTCTAGGGTACGCTTTAATCTTGGGTCACTAGGACTGTGGGGAGTGGACAGCCACGTGGGAGTCTTTGGCCCTGGTCATCTCGATGCCAAATGAAGGTCGGAGCCTTGCCATGACCCTCTGCCTGGTTTGTCCTGAGGATTAAACGAGATCCCTGTGAAATCCGTGGCTGCAGATGATCTCGGCTCATGTGGGAAAGCCAGGGAGACAACCAGGCACGTCTCTCGTGGCTGTAGAGGGACTCAGGGACCAAGCCAGGCCCAGGCTAGGGTGAGCATCATCCAGCCGGGGCAGCCCCAGCAGGGGGAGGGTAGGCCCACTGCCCTGCTTCCTTAGTTACCGAGGAGCCGGGCCTCCGGAATCAGGTGCAGTTTTCTTTATTCATCAGCCCCCTTTTTCTTGGAGGAGTCTGGGATAGGGAGAGGCAGGGAAACACACTCCTGGCCGGGCCTTCTCTGCTGCTCTGGGGAAGCCATGGTGGTGGGGGTGACAGTGAGGAGGGGGGGGAGATGACCCTGGGGCACAGAATCTGTGATACAGGGAGGCTGTGATGCTGAGGGAGGCGGTCCTAACAGGCCATAGTGACAGTAAAACTCCTGAGCCTGTGGAAAAGCCACTCTACACACACACACACACACACACACACACACACACACAATCACTCCACGTTTGGTAAAGCTTGAGTGACGGTGGTTCCTGGGCCTGTGTGTTCCAGGGTCGCCCGCAGCCATTGCTCACACTGGGGACCCCAGGGGTCCGAGGAAGTGATCTGAGAGATCCTCCTCATATTGACTATGAACACGCTTATTTTTTCCTTTTGCTTTAAGCACAAAATCTATCCCCCCCCCCCCCCCCCCCACACACACACACAAAATGAATGCATGCACATCCACACCTTCTGGGTAACCATCCCATAGCTGTGTGCTACCACACAAGGTCACGGGCTGCGGTCTGCAGCCAGACTTCAGAGATTAAACCAGCAAGATCCCACCAAGACAGAGTGTTTGGTTTATGACAGGGGTACAGGTTACACGGATGTGTTCACACTCCCACGAGGTTGTCCACTCCCCACAGTCCTAGTGCCCCTCCCAGCTATATCCCTCCAGGTGAAGCTATCATCCCACTTACAGCCTGGTACTCAGAGCTCGGTCCTTGGACCAGCTCTACTGGCAGCCTGGACCCTCCTGGAAATGTGAATTCCCAGGCCCCCCAGGCCTCCTGAACCAGACCCTGCAACCTACACTGTCTCAGGTGATTCACCCGTGTTCCTGTTTGTGAAGCGCCGGTCCACACCACCGCAGCGAGGATGGGGGGCTGTCCTCTGCAGACAATGACGATGCCCATGGGAGACGCATCTGGGCTCCCTCCCTCCTTCTCTCCACACCCACCTCCACAAGGGAAGGTAAATCACATGGTACTAGCCGCATTCCCACCCTCCTAACAAGAGGCCCCAGGCTGGCCAGCATCAGGGACGGTGAGGGGCCCGGAAGGCTGGACCTGGGGTGTGGAGCTAGATGCTCCCAGGGGGGTGTGAAGTGGGCGGCTGCCCTCCTGGGAGCGCCAGAAGGGCGGGCCGGGGGAGGGGGTCAGATGGGAGCCTGCCACCCTCCTGGCTCTGGGGCAGGCTCGCCATCCTGAGCCACCCTGGCCCTCCGAACATCAGGGCAGCTGCGGATCCCCCCTGTGGCACTCCCCATCCCCAAGACTCACAGGATGTAGCAGATGACCCCGATGCTCCACATGTCCGTGGCGTAGCCAATGGGCTCATAGTTGATCACTTCGGGTGCCACGAACTCCGGGGTGCCGAAGAGGACCTTCAGAGACCCTGCGTTCTCTGTAACCAGAGAGAGAGGGATCACTGGCCAGAACACGGCAGAGCCAGCCCATCGTTCTCGAATGCCCTCATCTGTGTGCCCGGGAGAGACACAGAGAGGGCCGGCCTCAGCTGCCTGCTGTCTCCCGGGAGAAGGCACAGAGATCCCGGCCACCCATTAAATAAGGGCATCACTGCACCAGGAAACCTGCCAGCCGCACCCTCGCCTCAGTGCCTTCAGCCGGTGGGAGGTGAGGGGCGGGGAGGAGAGGCTGCTAAACCCCGGCCGACAGGGCTTTGCCCTGTGTCTGCCTCTCCCACGAGTGCCTGAGGCGGGACTGTGACCTGTGCTCAGTAATAACGAGCTCTGCTGCTTGTTTGACAAACTTTCCTGTTTAACATTCTCGACAACCCCAGGCTCACAGGGCGGCTCAGGGAAGCGGAGTGATTTACCCGCCCAGCAAACAGTGGTGCCAGGGGTCCTGGCTCCCGAGCCAGGCTCCTCCTACCCCACGGACTCCCCACGTGCAGCCTCATCTCTCTCCTCCCAGGAGCTGCCGGGAGGATCGTCAGGAAAACCTTGACTGCAGGCTTCTGAGCCCACAAGATAAGAGCTGTCCAGAGCTTGCACACAGGGTGCCAGCTGCTGGAGGGGTGGCATGCCTTTGGCCCACGGCTGCCCCTGGTCTTGTTAACTATGAGCCTCAGGGAAGGCTCTAAGATAAGGTGACTAGACGTCCCGCTTTCCAAAAATCGGGACATTTTTTTAAAATTTATTATTATTTTTTTTATTTTTAAATCAATCCTTATTGTTCATATTATTACAAAGGTTCCTCATTTCTTCCCCCCTCCACCAGGTTCCCACCCCACCCTCCGCCCCTTCCCCATCCCCCATTGTCCTCATCCATAGGTGCACAGTTTATGTTCAGTCTCTTCTTCCCTCCCTTTTCCCAATAGTAAATCCCTTTTCAGATAGTAAATCAGTTACTTAGCATTTTCTCATATCAATAATACCTCCACATGCCCAATGATACACTTCACACAAAAGACATTTCCCAATAGGTCCACCAGCCTCATCCAGGCCCCACCCAAGGCACTCACAGATCAACACCCCAGCCCTATACTAACTCAACACATCCAGATCTAAGCCTTCATCACTTGATTCAGCAGACCCTCAAGTTCCCACGAAAGTTTCCAGCCATGTCTGAGAGGCAGCCGTGGGGCAGGGGCAGGCGAGGAGCGAGCTGTTCTGGGCCTGGCTGCTCAGGGCCTGGCCTCTGTTGCTCTGGTTCGTTCCACAACCAGCTGCTCCGGGTCTGGTCACTGCCGCTCCCAAAAATCGGGACTTTTTTAAAACCCCGCAGGACACGGGACAAATGGTTAAAAATTGGGACTGTCCTGCCAAAAGTGGGACATCTGGTCACCTTACTCTAAGACAAAGCACCGAATGGCTCTCGGACATTGGAGCTCTGCTCCACCTCCAGCCGGAACCCTTCCTGCTGTATCTTAACTTCCCAGTTCTCTGCTCCCCGTAGACACCAGTCTCCACAGACCCCCTCTCTAAGGGAGCCTGCCCATGTGTTCTCTAATCTCTGACCCTCTAGCTCCCTAGGCCAGTTGTGCCCTATGTGTTTAAACTGTTGGGATTTCCTGCCCACCCGCGGTGGCCCCCACACCGTGCCCTCAGCAGGAGAGAGCAGAGCAGCTCATTTGCCCAACCTCGGGGCACCGATCACCAGAGCCCCACAGCCTGGCGGGACCACCCTCCCTCATTTTCCTCTTTATCACTCACACAGTCTCAACCAGGACTGGGCATCCTGGGAGATTTGTCAGGTGCCATTAGCTCCTTGCCGGCAGGGAGGAAAGGCCAGCTCTGGCAGGCCCCAGGCCAAGGTTGTGGTCAGGAGGTGGGGGGGGGAGGCTGTTTCCTCAATTCCTGAGACACACAGGCAGAGTGAGTGGAGGTGGCATGTGAGGCAGACAGTCACCCACCCAAATGGCTGCAGGGCTGGGTGCAGGTCCCGACCACCTCCTGCACCTCCCCTCGCTGCCGGAACAGCACAGGTGTTCAGGAAGCTCAAACTGCATCTGGGGTCCCTATTACAGCCCCAGCACCTCTCCTGGCTCCTGGGGGACCTGCTGGGCAAAGCTACTGTGAGCCTCGGTTTCTTAGTCTAAAAATTGGGCTCATAGCACCTGCCTTGCCTACCCCACAGGGTTGCTGTGAGAATCAATTGAGAGGAAACAGCAGGAGACTGGAGACAGAACAGTAGGAGGCAAGTGCAGGAGGAACCATCATCAAGGTGAGTTTGGGGATTGAAGGCTCCAGAGTGAAAAATATGAAGGGCAACAACAAAAATGATAATAATAAATTGCTAACACCCACAAAAGTGCTTACTTACTAGACACTGCTCTCATCACTATTCATGCATTCACTCATTGGACCTCCATAACAACTCTGTGAGGCGGGTACTGTGGCCATCCCACTTCACAGACCAGGAATTTGAGACTTAGCCTCACAACTAGTTAGTGGTCGGGGTGGGATTTGAACCTGAGCCGTCTGCACAGTCTCTGAGTTTAACTCCAATGCTGTGCATTCCCTCTGACGCCCACTGTGTGGGACACAGCCACAGCCACTGCCACGACACGTTGAGGACAACAGGAGAGAGGCCTTACCCAGCCTCCGGGCCAGACCGAAGTCAATGAGCTTGATCTTGGTGCCCGTCTTGTTGACACACATGATGTTCTCGGGCTTGAGGTCCAGGTGGACGATGCCCTGCTTGTGGATGTACTCCACGCCCGCCGAGATCTGCCGCATGTACTGGATGCACTCGCGCTCCGTCAGCTCGAAGTCCTCGTCGATGATGCGCTCGAACAGCTCACCCCCCGACACGCTGCGGGAATGGAAGGGGCAATGGTTAGACCACAGGATCAGAGAGCCCGGGCTGGCAGGGATTCTGGCCAAGGGCAGGTCAGGGGTTGGGGAGACGGGCAGGGTATGGGGGTGCCAGGCCCTTTTTTGTGTCCTGAGTCCCAGGCCCTGTTAACACTGATCGTCTCCACTGTGTGAGGAAGGCCCAGGCCTCCTGGTCTCCTCTTGGGGGACTCGGCCTGTGCCCACTAAGCTGTAGGGGGATTCAGGGAAGCACCTAGGCCGGGCATACTCAGGGGTGGTCATGAACTGAGAGATCCAGACATGATCTCCTTAACAAAAGGTTAACTGCTGGGGGCAGCTTCCATTCCCCAAATGACTATGGATGTCCAGGGGATCATGCTTGTACTCCAGCCGTGTCTTTTAGTCACAGAGAATTGAAACTTGAAACAATACTCATAGGAACAGGAAAGTATGTTCAACAATAAGCCTTAGCAAATTTGTTGGCTGTAGCCTACCACACTTACAGTTGAGATCCATCTGCTTCCTCTGGCTAGGCCTGTAGTATCAGCTTACTCCTTCCAGCTTAACTGTCTGGTCCAGCAGGCTGTGGCCCAGGCTAGAATATGGTACATTTTTCCTGTTTGGATAGACAGTGTTTCTGGGGCCCACAGGGGACATCTTCTGCTAAGCACTGCCCCAGGGGCCAGCCGGCCAGAGTACTGGCCTTCAGTGCAAATGCACGGCCTCACTTTCGGAGTCGAGTGATCCTCTCGCTTCCCATTCCAATGCTGGTTTAAAGCATCTCCTGGGCAACTCCTGTAGACATCAATTCTCCAGCTGAACAAGACTGGGTGGGCTCCATTCTAGGCTAGTCCTCTTCCGAGGGCCTTCCCTCTTCTAAGGGGAGTCATCAGGAAGAAGGGAAAGAGCTGCGTTTGAATCCTGTCTCTGCCTCGCAAGTTGTGTGAGTTCATTTTTCTGAGCCCCAGTTCCCTTCCTCGTAGAATTGCTAGGAACGAAGGATCCCTTGCCTGACACATCATGCCTGACACACAGTAGGTGCTCTGCACATATTATTGCCAAATGCATCACCTCTCGGGAGAGGTGATGACACCTAAGGGAGAGACAGACCTCTGTCACCACATGACAACAACCACTTTCACTTCTGGACCCGCTAAGCTAGGGGAAAAAAAAAATCACTTGTGCACATGGCCACTGGGGGGCGCTGCAACAGACCCTTTTAGAACCAACCAAGAAGGAGGTCCAGGGCGACCAGCAGGTGGCGCCTCTGTCCTCAAGCTCTTTATGTCTACTGCTCTCCGCCCAGGCTCCAAGTAGGAGGACTCTACTGTTAGGTCACAGGTGATTCTTAACACATGTGCTTCAAAGATGCGATAAAAACAGCCCCACCTCACAGGGTTGCTGTGAAGACAGAGCTAATGCATCTAAAGTGCTTAGAGAAGTGCCTGGCACATGGCAAGTGCTCAATATTATGTTATCGTTTTTTATGTTTTTAAAGAACCAGTTGAGGCTTTTGTTGAAAATACAGATTCCCAAGCTCCACTCCTGGAGATTCTGATTTTAAAAATTTGGGAGGGATCTGAGGATCCATATTTTTAATAAGTGCCCCAGCTCATTCTTATGATCCAACGAGTTCGGAAAGTACTGGCTTACTCCATCACCAGCTCTGAGAGGCAGTGGAAATCCGCATCTTCCTGATAAAGCACACCCGATTGTCCCTATGAAATGAGCCTTCCCCCCATGGGTCTCCCCAGCCTTGTCTCTGCACTTTTGTTCAAGTCTGCCTTTCCTTACAGCTGTTTGTGAACATGTCTGGGAAAGGTCTGGCTCATATCTAGACCCCTGTTTATACCTGACGATGTCTGGCACAGACAAGATGCCCCAAAATGTCTGCTTCTAAATTTAAAGCATTCAGAAAAAACAAGCAGCCATCACCTGCAGTGCCCTTGGCAATGAGTTGTAGGAATCAGAGCTACAGAGATAATTACGGAGCCATTTCTAGAGGTAACCTAGTCAATATATGGTCAGATAGGTTCACATCTATTCAAATATATTTAAAATATTTCAAAAATGACTCCTTCGTTCCTTTTTTTTTTTTTTTAGAATGAAAAGAGCTACAAAAAATATGATGAATGATTCTATAGATTTCAATCCTGGCCGGCGTGGCTCCTTTGGTTGAGCGTCATCCTGTGCACCAAAGGGTCATAGGTTTGATTCCCAATCGAGGCTCATACCCAGATGGCGGGTTTGTCCCCTGTTGGGGTGCATATGGGAGACAGCTAACAAATCTCTCTCTCTCTCTCTCTCCCTCCTTCCCTCCCTCCCTCCATCCCTCTCTCTTTAAAATCAATAAAAACATTTTTAAAAAGAAGCAGTTAAAAAAATGGTTCTATTAAAAACATTCAAGACGTTTCTCCATCAAACAGCAAATGGCACTGCTTGAGTGCCAACCTTGGTGCTCGCAGAGGCTGAGTCTGTTTGAAGCGCAGATCGAGCATGAATCTGCTCCCTCTCCTTGGGTTGAGTTCCTATGGGGGTGAGCTCCTGACCTCGAGGGCAGGCGAATCCTCTGGCATCCGTGCCTGGAAGATTTGCTCCTGTCCTTGGGGGAGGCGTGGGGTGGAGGGATGAAACCCAGACCTGCGGAAGCCTTCTTACATTTTCCCCCAACATTTTCCATCCAGCTTGCCAACTCCCAATTCCAAGCTAAGTATGGTATTCTGCCCACTGGTGCTGCTGCCTGGCCTTACCCAGGCTGGGCTGCCTCCTCCCCCTCCCTGCACACCCTCATGAACTTGCTCAAGATTTAACTTCTAAAGATAAGACATTTGTTCACATGTCCCCACATGCCACCTGCCTGGACCAAGAACCTGCTCTAGAACAAATGTGAAAAGCTGCAGCCAGAGGGCTGTGGTGAGGGTGGGGCCACAGACATGGCTAAATTTTTTCTGGAAGTGGGGAGGCAAGTTGGAGTTTGGGGCTGAAAAAAGAGTTTAAGATATGATGGAGATTGTCTTTGAATCTTTTCCAATTCCACAGAATTTTAAGAACAAATGGGAATCTAACCTAAATACTTCTCCTACTAGAAGGATTTAATAATGACAAAAATCACTGCTAAACAGTAATAGGACCTGAGTAGTAGGGTTTGTTCCATAGTACTCAGTTGGGTGTTAAAATGCTCACAACCTAATTTTGATGGGAAAAAGATCAGGACAGAGGAAAAAGTCAATGCACCGTATTACCATTGCAGAGCATTGTGCCTGCCATACATTATTCCCTTTGATTTCCACACTATTCACAAGGCGGTTTATATCCTCCTTTTATAGATAATAAAACTAAGGGTTGGCAGAGTCGAACAATTTACTCAAGGCCAAACAACAAGTAAGAGGCAGAGTTGGGACTGCGGTGAGGTTTATGGGACTCAAGGCTGGGCTGTTAACCACTTTCCTAAGGAACAAAAACTGAAAGGGACTCATCAAAGTGTTCGCAGAATGAGGGGGGGATTCAACCCTTAAGCTCGGGGCTGCCTCGCTGGCCTCCCTGGCTCGCCATGTCTGGGAAGGAGCAATTGCAGGATGCTGCTGTCAACGGCACAGTATCTCTCAAGGTTTCAAATATACATCGATTCAGCACCCTAGACTCCTGGGAGTTTATCCTCCAGATGTACACAGGCATGAGTGAAAAGGTGTGTGGGACCAGGTTACAAAAACCGCTTATTTGTAAAAGCAAACACCTGGAAACCACCCACCTCCTGCCAAAGGAGAACAGTGACCGTGGTGTTTGCATGTGATGATGTTGCATGGAATAGAACAAGGGAGCTCCCTGGCTACTGAGACGGGACTATCTCCAAGGTAAACTAGGATGAAAAGAAGCAACATGAGGGCTCATAACTACGAGCTGCCATTGTGCCAAAGGGTGGGAAATATGGATATAATGTGCTTGTATTTTCATAAAGAAACCAGATACAGACAAAATCAAAGAGATTGTCTCCTGGTGGTGGTGGTGGGGTAGGAATAGGGTAGATGGGGGCAGGGGATGGGAATGGGATTTTTCATTGCATTTGTCCTTATGTTTTTTGATGAGATAGTACCATATATTAAAAATAGTCAAATTAGGAAAAGGAAAAGAAATACTTAAAAATATAGACACAAAATGGAGGACATTTGACTTACTGACACTAGTATGTACATGTGTGTGTTTGCGTGCATGTTTAAACACACGTATATGCACAAGTGTGTTTGCACACATGCATGCGTGTTTGCACACGTGAGTTTGCATGTGCATGTGTGTTTGCGCATGCACACGCATGCCAGCAGTTCAGAGGTGAGAGGTGGAGAAGTGGGACTAGAGGAAGCCTGGAAAAGGAGAGCCCTGGCCAGAGGTCACCAGGCCCATCTCCCTGCTGTGGACAACCCGGCACAGAAAGCGCTATTCTTTGGTGACTGACAAGTGAAGAAAGTACAAATGAGCACACGGAACACTGAGAGGATGGAGCAAGGTTACCTCCTACATCTGAGCCCCCACCTGTACCCCTCTCTCTCACAGGCTAGTCAGGAAGTTGCTCCATCCCTCCCTTCCCCCCTGAAGCCACCTCCAGGTCAGAAGGCCCCTGAATGGAACCAAGGAGCCTTTCACAGGGAGGTGAGGGGTCCTCCGAGATCTGTCCATTTGTTATGGACATGAGCAGGGCTCAGCGGGCTGGTGGTCAGTGGTCAGGCTCAGAGCTGTGGCTGGACAGGCTATGACTATCTTGCATCACGCCCCTGCCTGCAGTGAAGGGGAGGGGGGGGGCAAGGAACAATGGGCTGCTGGGCAGTGGGCTGCTCACATCTCCAGGACCATGACGATGTTGGCCTTCTCTTCGAAGGCGTCCACACACTGGACCAGCTTGGGGTGGTGGAGGCAGTTCATGATGCTGATCTCCTCCCGGATGTTCTCTTTCTCCTTTGCTGAATAAGCTTTGAAGAATTTCCCTGCCCAGATTTTTCCAGTTTTCTTTTCTACAAGTCGGAAGACCTGTCCGAATTTCCCACTGCAAGGGAAAGGAGGAGGGAAAAGGCACATTTAGCCATGCTTTCCACTGACTAGGGGATGGCCAACAAATCTGGCCCGCCTGTTTTCATAAAGTTTAATTGGAGCACAGTCATCTCATTTGTGTGTATATTGTCTATGAGAGGCCCCCATGTGGCTCCCCCCCTCTGTCCCACCCGCCTTTGAATTTGAAGAGAAGCAGCTGCAACACAGGCTGCATGGCCCGCAAGGCCTGAAAGATCCAATATTTGGCTTTTTACAGAAAGAGTTTGTCAGCCCTGCTCTAGGTCAGGGAAGTGCATTTCCAATACTGCAAACTACTCTCCTCATCACTTGCCAGCTGCAGCCCGTGCTGGCCCCGCATCCCGCCCAAACATGCCAACCTGCTGCTCCTTCAGCCCGGGCACCGCCTTATGGGGCCTTAGCATGGCTAGTGGACTTCTCTCTCCTGCCCCGCAGAGGGACTCAGGAGGTCAGGTTGAGGAGAATGTTCGAGTGGCTTCCTTCCTCCCCCTCTACCTCAGCACTGTCCCGGAGACAGCCTGGAGGCCCTGCTGCCCACTGTGGGGCAGGGCGTGGTCCTCTGACAGCTCCCCCTGATGGTGGGGGCTCCCTGTACCAGCTGTTAGGAGGCTGGGAATACAAATGGAGACTACCCTTTGCTTCCACCTCCCGTGCTCGGGAATAGAGTGCTAGTGGGAGGCAGCCTGGGACGCTGCTGCTGGAGGGGGCGCTTGGCTGTGACCAGGTGTCAGGATGGGGTCCAACCCCAGGAAGGACTCAGAGTGAAAAGTGGGGAGCACGGGGAGCATGGGTCAGGCTGGCCTGCCTTCTGTGGGTCGGATGGGAGGGTCCTGAAGGCAGCCCGGATGTGGTCCCCTCAGCTCAGAGCTGGGTGGAGAATGAGGCACAGCAAAGGAAGGCTCACCCGAGCCCTCCACAGAGGGATCAGCACAGAACTACACGTGGCTCCTCCGAGAGCCCTGGGTGGCCATGCTTTCATGGAGTGCTGTCCCTCCCTCTTGATGCTGCAGGCATGCCAGGCTGGGGAGCTGGCAAACCCAGGAAAGAACAGGAAGACAAGGCATGGAATTCACTGGGGGGGGGGGGGGGGAGGGAATGAGGGGATGGGGAGAAGGTGTCTGGGCCATGCTCAGGCTGGGGGCCTGAAGGGTGCTTCCCACTCCACTTACGATCCTAGTCTCTCTTCGATGTCGTAGAAGTCAGACACTTTTTGTTCGGTATTGATCGTCACCGTCCGGTAATCAACTTCAGTCTCCTTCTCATCTGCAGGGCGGGGGTTGGAGTGGGTGTGAGCCATCAGATCCCTGCTCACCCCTTTCCACCCCTAGAGCCCACCCAAGCGGATTGTCCAGCACTCACCATCATCGGACACCTCCACTTCATCCTTCGGCTCTGGGGAGACAAGGAGGGGACACAGGGATTAGTACCAAAGGCCCATTGAGAACAAAACCTGCTGGGAGCTGTCAGGCCTCAGCCTTCCCTGGCACAAGGCCACCGTGCCCAGAGCCTGGGCGTCGCTGTGTGGTCAGTCAGCTCATGGTGCAACAGGGCCATGTGTGTGCGGGCAGCCACTGGCCTCCTCACCCCACCAGCCCCACCCCAGCTCCCGCCTCCATCCCTCATGGCGCCTTAGGCACACCCACTTCACATCTCTTCCGATCCCTCTGACTTTCAGAACCTACACACAATTGTGACGGCCCTTTCTGCTCTGGCTAGAAAGTCAGCAACTTATGATTGCCAGCATGTCCAATCCATTTATCCATTTACTGAACGTCTTTCATGGAATTCCAGCCATGTTCCAATACCTGGCCATGTGCTGTGGATATACAAAACAAAATACACAGAGGCATAATACCTCCTTCTTCCTGGAGCTTATATCTTAGTTGGGAAGGCAAAAACACATTTCCTTAAGAAACCCATGGCACATCTATATATATAAAAGCCTGAGTGACTGTTTGACTGTTAAACTGGTAGCTATGATGCACATTGACCACCAGAGGGCAGACGCTCAATGCACAGGCATGGAAACATGGAACAGACTGATGAATCTCAGAGGAAAGGGAGAAAGGGGGAGGACAGGAAGAGATTCAACAAAGATCTTATATACATATGGAAATGCAGACTTCCACACTCACACACACCCCTCCCTTAGTCTCTTCTGAACCTTCACCATCCATCCCCTCCACCATCCCATGAATCTGTATCTGAGAAGTACTGGAGTGGAGGAGAGGATGAGAGTGGAGTCAGTGAGACACTAGTTGGTTCTCTGTAGTGTAGTCAACAGTCACACTAGAGACCCGGTGCACAGGTCGAAGCCAGCAGTCTGACATCCCCCAAGGGGTCCTGGATTGTGAGAGGGCAGAGGCCAGGCCGAGGGGCCCCACGAGTGCATGAATCCGTGTACATGGCCTCTAGTGTTATATAATCAAGCACACACTATTACAGTGCACATGGAGGAAGGCAACATAAAAAGGGGCAATTATAAAGACCAACAATTATTCTAAGAGAAGTCGCCCTTGAGTTGTGACCTAAAGCAGCAGTTGCCAACCTTTTAGATCTCAGGCCACCAGTGGTGGGCGGACCATCTGTTGGCAACCGCTGACCTAAGTGAAATGATGGAACACAATGAGGAGGGTGACGTCACACAGTGGAACCCACAGGTGCCTGAGAGGTGTGTCAAGCAGCTCCAGCTGTCACAGCCTGGACGTGCAGGAGTGAACGGGGACGTGAGGCGACAGCAGGTGTGCAACAGATCACCCTCATCAAAGCTCCAGGCTTTCCCCGGCCTTGGCCTGGGCGGGTGCCACCACAAAGTTATCCTCTTTCCTGCCTCTTTTCCAAGAGGTAAAGAATCCTCTTAAAGAAATATGCTGGCCGAGACCGGTTTGGCTCAATGGATAGAGCATCGGCTTGGGGACTGAAGGGCCCCGGGTTCGATTCCGGTCAAGGGCATGTACCTTGGTTGCAGGCATATCCACAGTAGGGGGTGTGCAAGAGGCAGCTGATCGATGACACTCTCTCATTGATGTTTCTAACTCTCTATCTCTCTCCCTTCCTCTCTGTACAAAATCAATAAAATATATATAAAAGAAAAGAAAAGAAAAGAAAAGAAATATGCTGAACACATGCAGACTGCAATCTGGTTGCCTGTCCTGGCATCCCCACTCTAACTTGCCTGGTCCCACCCTCCTGGTCTCCCTGCTATCCAACCTCCATGTCACTGGGAGGCAGCCAAAGAAGCACAGACTTTGGGTCAGTCAGCTTTGAGTTCCAGCTTCCACTCGCCAATGCAAGCTCTATCACCTTGGGCAAGTAGCTTCTCCCCTGTGAACCTCGTTTCCCATCTGTAAATAGGGGTGATGGCAGATGTACTTCATTGAGTTAGATGCATGAAACGATTCGTGGAAAATGCTGAACATATTGTTAGCATATAGCAGTGCCTAATATATGTCAGCCATGATGAGTCATAATAATAAACTAAATGACTCTTGAATTCAGATACCCAAGCCAGGAACGGGGAGTCATTTAAACTCTTCTAATTTTTTCCCTCAACTCCCTATTCAAAAAGTCATCGCGATTGGTCAATTCCATTGCGTGAGGGTTTAGTTCATACCGTTACCACCCCTCTCCTGGAGTACACCACAGAGAACCAACTAGTGTCTCACTGACTCCACTCTCATCCTCTCCTCCCTCTAGTGCTTCTCAGATACAGATTCATGGGGTTCAATTCTGGTCAAGGGCATGTACCTTGGTTGCAGGCACATCTCCAGTAGAGTGTGTGTAGGAGGCAGCTGATTGATGTTTCTCTCACATTGATATTTCTAACTCTCCCTCTCCCTTCCTCTCTGTAAAAAAAAAAAAATCAATAAAAAATAAAAAATAAAAAGGTGGTATGTACTTCTTTTAAAGTATGCATCAGCGTCATAATCTTGGAAATCAAGATCCCCAACAAAGCTGCCTGTCACCATGGATGTCCTCCCCCTCCCAGTCCAGGTTTCTAGCTGCACGGGGCAGTTGACGCACGTTTATTTCAGGCCAGTGAGGAAGTGAAGGCAGCTTACCCTCAGGTTTCTCTCCCACCGTTGTGAGTTCCGACTCCTGGCTGGGCTCGCTGGTTCCGTACACATTGATGGCGCGCACACGGAACTTATAGTCTCGGTCAGGCAGCAGGTCCTGGACGTTGAACGAGGTGCTGCGGCACGTGGCTAGCTCCTTCCACGACTTGTCCACCGAGTCCCAGATCTCGACGCTGTAGGACTGCACGGCACTGCCCCCGTCGTACGAGGAGCCGTACCAGGACAGGGTCAGCGAGGAGCTCCGGATGTCAGAGGCGCAAGGCGTGCCAGCGGGGGGGTCTGGCTTGTCTGGGGATAGAGAAGCACAGAATCACCCAACTCTGCAGAATTTCAGGGGGTGGGGGGAGGTTTTGAATCAGGTGTGTGGGGGAGGAGCCTAGAGAACTCAAGCTGACATCCCCGGTCCCGGCTCTGGTTCCCTCATCCACACAGTCACACCGGTGCACAAACCACCTGTAAGAAAGCCACACAGATACCTAGGGGCTCAAGGAAAGTCTTTTCTTTTGGCCAGTTGTCCAGTCTGCGAGCCCTGACTTCCTGTTCTTTGTCCTGGTCATGAGCATATTTCTCAGAGTAAACAGATCTAGGAAGTTGCCCAGAAGGCGTGGGCTGCTTCCCATAAAAAATGTTTTGAGAGAGGGTTCAATGTGTATGTGTGTGTGTGTGTGTGTGTGTGTGTGTGTGTATCCTACAGGCCATAGGCCAGTGACCTGTGCCATAACTAGGGTTCAGACTACAGTCTCCTTGAGACTTGAGAAATGCCTGCCTCGCTGAGAAGCAGACAGATCCAGATTTGAACACAGCTCTGACCCCACTCACTATTTATTACCGTGCCTCGGTTTCCTCGCCTGTACAATGCAACATGTGGATAATAATAGCACTTGGATCACAAGGCGGTTATGAAGAATTCTTAGGAAAGTGGCCGAGTTGAGTAGCCATTAGTCATCATTGTAGTAGTAGTTTATCTCTGACTTTGTGATACATTAAAAGTTATTCCTACCCTATCCCTTTTATTCATATAGGACTGGTATAAAATGAGTGAAGAATTTCAAGAGCAAACCACAGTAGCAAATCACAACCATCCCTGACTAAGGGCTGGAAAATGAACTGAAGACACACGCTAAGAACTGGAAACACTGTCAACTGCAAGGCCAGTCACGCAGCCGATACCACACGAGGCTCCTGAGTCTTTCTGACTTGGTCAGTTGCTCATCTGAACAACGTTTTCCTATATTTTCTGATTTCATTTCTGCAGGTAATTGGGTGAATCACAGAATTTAGTAACCATTCCTCCAAAGCCGTTTGAGGTGCAGAGCTCCCCCAACTAACGATTAAAACCATGCCTTGGTGCTCTGTGAATTTATGTGATATTTATTCACGTAGCGTGAACTCGGGTGAATTCCTTAACTCCCAAGACTAGTTTGTCTTTTTCACTTGGAAACATAGTGCTACTATGCACGTTCCCTTTGGAGGTTTTGCAAGCACCAGGCGAGCAAATCGGGGGGAAATTCTTGACTTCTACTCTCCCACCTCTGAGCAAGGCATGAAACTCAAAAAGGGTTCTTTCAAATGACCCTGTGCAAATAGAGGAAAAAAACATTCTGCTGCCTGCATGCGTGTGTGTGTGTGTGTGTGTGTGTGTGTGTGTAAAGACCTACATGATACATACACATATTCTTTCTCTCCCCTCCCCCAAGCCCTGCAGCTTCTCCATTCCACCCAAGGACGCCCTGCCTGGAACCCGTCCACCCTGCCACCCAGGCCTGGCCCGCGGGTGGGGATGCTGGGACTGTGACAGAGCCTCTTTGTGCAGCCACTCCGGAGGCCTCCTGTGATGGATCCGCTTTCACTGGGTGTTAAGTATGTTCTCTTAGAAAAACTGTTTGTTCTGAAAAATATGCTGGTCTTTTTAGAAATACGTCTGGTGTTGGCTAGGATGTTTATTGCTCTTCACTCTTAGGGCAAGTGGACCCAGCCCTCCAGGACCCAGCTAAAACAGTATGAAAGCCCAAAGGATGAAAGGCAGACCCATTGCTCTCCCCCTCCACTGCCTGGAACACGTCTGATTGGCCACACTTAGAATCACTTGGGTTTATGTAATGAATGCAGTACACCCCACGGACTGATTCTCCCCCTTCTGCTTTGATCAAGAAGAAAAAACTTTGATAAGTGTGTACCGTGGAAGAGGTACTACTTGTATCCCACCCTGTCCAGTCTCTTGGTCAAAACTAGAAAACGGACGTATGGCAGATATTACCCCCTGTGGTGCAAGGGAAGATGGGAAATTTGGAGAGGGGAGCTTTCATTCCAAGTGAAACTTCAATGCCTTCGAGGAATTTGAATGAAGGGGTTTAGGTGTCTGAGGTTGGAAGCCCCTCAGGGCCAGGGGCTGGGTCGGATGCTCCCTGGTTTTCACAACCTGCAGACCCCCCGACAGAGGCAGACTCGCCAGGGGTGAAACCCCTCAGAGCAGAGCGCCTGCGGCCTGCCCTCCATGCTAAAGACACGGCCGACCTGGTATGGAAGGGCAGCAGCCTCAGAGTCTAGGGCCCGGAGCTCCAGGGCTCCTGGGGCTGACCCCCTGGCTCCCCAGAAAGCTGACCAACAGGATGGGGTTTCTGCTCAGTAAATGCTTCCACTCCTGGGCTGACGCTTCTCATATGAGGGGCCATCTTGGCGGGCTCTGCCTGCCTGTGTGTCCGAAGATGGTCTACGGCTGAGTCTCCCCTGCCTGGCTTGCCTTCACTGGCATACCGGCAGTCACTCGCATCTTCCATGGAATGCCAGGGGCTGCAAGGGCTTGTATACCTGCATAGCCGGCCCTTGGCCCCTGGGAGGCTAAGACCCTCTGCTTACCAAGAATACCTTCTGGGCCCTGGCAGAGCCAAAAGGAGATTCCGAAACATTTTCAGATCCTCGGGCCTGGCTATCAGGCAGAATAAGATCAAGACCACATCTTGCTGAAATCTAAGCCAGGCATTATGAAGGGAAGTCTCTTGCCCTTAAAAATCATGCAAGTTGCCGAAACCAGTTTGGCTCAGTGGATAGAGCATCTGTCTGCGGACTGAAGGGTCCCAGGTTCGATTCCGGTCAAGGGCATGTACATTGGTTGTGGGCACATCCCTGGCAGGGGGTGTGCAAGAGGCAGCTGGTCAATGTTTATCTCTCATCGACGTTTCTAGCTCTCTATACCTTTTCCTTCCTCTCTGTGGAAAATCAATAAAATATATATATATTTTAAAAATCATGCAAGTTCCAGGCTCAGGTAGTATTTGGGGACTAGTGGGTATTTGGGGTTCCCTCTACTTTATTCTTCTCCTTTAAAGATATGCAAAGTGACCTGTTTATCTCTTGCTGGACAAGTTACAGGAAGGAAATCATTTGGGCTGGGCTGCTCTCTCTTGCCCAAGTGGCACCCCCACCCTCCAAGGTTGTGGGTAGAGGTGGAGGCAGAGGATCCCAGAGCTTCGCAAATCCTTGCACTGCCTTTCAACACAGAATAGTCATTAGCCTTTCAAACAGCTAAGCATCACTCATTTAAACTAACGGAGGGGAAGGCTAATGTTTACTGTCATTTATAAAATGGGAGTCATAGCCTATTTGAAAAGACAGGGGAGCTTTAAAGAATGTACAAGAAGAGACGTTTACTGCTGACAAGCAGAAGTTGTGCTAAAGCAGCCTTATTTAGCTGGCCTGTGAGCGGATGCTTCCAGCGGGCTTGAACGCCATCCAGAAAAAGCCAAACCGCTCCTGTTTCATCTCATTTACATCTCACATCTGGTTAATCAGCCCTGACCAGATAATACCCAGATGTGCTTAAGGACGTGCAGGTAAATCTGGGCTGAATCCAGGTTCACTCTGGACTAATTCTAAACCCATGGGCTCTGAATGAACGTGGCCTTGATGTTTGCATCAATGCAAGTCCCCGTTTTATTGAGCAATTCTATTCTTAGCCCTGTGAGGGGGAGGCAGACAGAAAGCCCGTCCCCCCCATTCCATTCCCCTCCCAGGACGGTATTTAACATGCTGGGCCTGCCAGCTGGCGGGCAGCCACGCCAATGGCCCTGTCAGTACTGGCCGAGGAGAATGAGAAACTAAACCATAAAAGGCCAGAACTGCAGTTTGTGCAGAGGGGATGGGGGAGGGGAGCGTGGCACCGAGTGGAGCTGGCCCAGTGCAGGGGGGTAGGGGTCACAGAAGAGCGGTTCAAAGGAGTGGACCCCAAAGTCGCTCAAGCAAAGGCAGGTGAGAGAGAACACCCAGAAAAACTGGAAACCGATATTATCTAACAGCTTTTTCTGAGGGTGTGGGGCCAAATCAGCACTGCGGGTACAGGTCTTAATGTAAAGACAGAGTGGGTCACCAGCCCCCCCCCCCCCAAGTTCCTGACTGCCAGGGGGACACATTGAAGTAAGCATCCAGTCACCAAAGAGAAGAGTGAGAAAAGAGTCTCTCTTGTCTTTTGTAGATGAGAACACTATTCCCTGACCCCCGGCACAATGGTTCCCAGATTTAAAACTCCCGACTCGAGGAAACGAAAGAAAGATGAGATCAATAAACCCCAGGTCAAAGGCTTGCACGAGCATAATGTACGGAGGCCCACAAATGTGCAGGGACACGGCCTACTGTCCACCAGTCTGCTGTGTTACCTGTTCCTTTCTGCCCTGAGCACCTGCCAATGGGGTGGGGTTGGGGGCAGCAAGGAACTGAGCACGCCAAGTGGGGGGCCAATTAGAAAGCTAGTGGCTGCTTCAGGAGAGAGTGGACAAAGGCATAGTCAGCACAGCACCTGGGATAAAGAGGAAAAAGTGAACTTCAGAAACAGCCTGGAGACAGACTCAGCCCAATACTGGAATGTGGGAGTACAAAAGAGGAGGGGGTTTAGGATTAGGAGGTCACAGTGACCTTAGAGGGGTGATCCCAGTAGACTCCTGGGGTAAGGGAGGCTGCAGGGAGCTGACGAGTGCCCAGGGGTGAGGAAGCAAAAGCAGTGTAGAGAGCACCCCTTCTCAGAGGGTTTGGCCATGAAGAGAGCACGAAGAGATGGGGGTGGCTGAAGCGAGATGAGATGTTGCAGGAGCTAAGCAGGCCTGTGTGTTTGGCTAAGATGAGAGAAGGAGAGGTGGAGCTGAAGAGAAGAGAGGAGGGGGCTGGGGGTGGAACCCCAAGAGCCTGGGGATTCAGAGTGCAGGAGAAGGAAGCGGCCTCAGGGAGAGAGGGGTGGTCCAGGGCCCAGAGCCTGGAGGGTGCGGTCAGCCTGGGGGTGGACAGAGAGATGCCTGAAAGTGCGGGGCCATGAAGCTGAGCAAGGTCAGGCCTGATGCCTCCTAGTTTTCAGAGAGGCCGGAGGCTGTGGCCTGCAGGGTGACAAGCTACCTCAGAGAGTGGGAGAGGGCACTGAGCAGCACCGAGCAGCACCGAGGCCTCAGCCAACCCTGGATCTTGTTAGAGTCCAGACTGTGGGCTGATGAGATCTTCCTGCAATGCCCCTCAAGTCAGGAGGAGGAGCAGTGATGTGGGGAGGCGACATTGATCCAAGGTGAAGCCTTCAAGGGGACAGAGCTGGGGGAGGGGAAGGCGGAGAGGGAGAGGGAGTTGCCATGCCAGTAGGAGAGGCCTGGAGCCCAGAGCTCAGGTCTCCGAAAGGAGCCATCAGGGACTCGCAGGAAGAGGAAAATGCTGCGAGGGTGTGGGCGTGGGATCTGGAGTTCTCATGAGCATGAAGCACAGTAACAGTGTGACCGTGGGGAGAGAGAAATGGAGAGGGAGTACGAGGGGCTGTGGGCAGAGAGGATGGGTGCAGAAGGCGTAGGTCCCCTTGGAGGTGAGACCCTGAGGTCTGTCATCCTGCCCGGGGGCTCTCTACCTTCCCCATCCCCCACTGCCAGGCCACCCACCCAGACTCACCAACCACAGTGAGGTTGACCTGGGCCTGCCTGCTGCCCAGCTTGTTCTCCACCAGCAGTGTGTAGCAACCGCAGTGCTCCTGGCGGGCCGCCAGAATGGTGAGCTTGCTGCCGCTCTCACTGTTCTCCACCTTGATGTGCTCGCTCTCCTGGATCTGTAGGCAGACAGTGGGCAAGCGCTGGAGACGAGGGCCAGCAAAGGAGTCGGGGCAACCCCATTGCACAGCTGTGGGGGGGGTATGGGGTGGGTCTGGACTCTGGGCTCCTCCTTTCCCTTCTCCCCTCTCCCCCCCACCCAAGACCCTCCTCTGCTGCCCTCAGAGCCAAGCCTCCCTGTGGGGTCTAGATCTGGGGCAGGCAGGGCGTGCTTGAGCAGGGTCGGAAGAGGGACTCTGCAGTTGCTGCTCTAGATGGGAGTTCAGAAGTGTCCTCATCTCCCTCCTCCACCCTGGGATGGGAGGGTGGGAGAGCACATCTGAGCAAAGTCACCTATGAAGCGCAGCCTATGGGTTCTGACCTCTTCTGAAACCATAGCCACTAGCCACATGTGGCAACTGACACTTTAATTAAGTGGAAGCAATCCAAACATCCATCAACTAATGAATGGGTAAACAAATGTGTATCTAAACAACGGAAAATTATTCGGCCATAAAAAAAGAATGAAGTTCTAATTTGTGCTACAACATGATTGAGGCCTGAAAACATGATGCTTAGTGAAAAAAAGCCAGACACAAAAAGAAGCATATTATAGGATTCCATTGATTTGAAATGCCCAGAACAGGCAGATCCATAGAGACAGAGAGGAGGCGAATGGTTGGCGGGGGTGTGGGCGGGAGGAAATGATTGGTAATGGGTCTGGGGCTCTGTTTGGGTTGATAATATTCTGGAATTCGATAACTGTTATGGTCGCACAACCCTGTGAGTATACTAAAAACCACTAAAAAAGGGTGAGTTAAAAAGAATGGATTTTGTGGTGTGTTAATTATAACTCAACAGAGCAATTTTAATAACTTTTAATTGCTTAACATTTAAAATTCAGTTCCTCAGTTATACCAGTCATAGTTCAAGTGCTCAACAGCCTCATGCGGTTAGTGGCTACATACTGGAGAACAGATACAGAACATCTCCAGAGACAGAGCTGAGATGTGGCTAAATGTCTCTGAGAAGGGAGGGGAGACTACCTAACTTCAGGCGACACTGGCCCAGCCATCGTCAGAGCTACATGCTTTGGGATGCTGAAGGCCAGCTTCTCTTTTCCATCTTTTGAGACCAAACCTCCTTTCCTTCCTGGCACTAGCCTCCCACTTGGGGCCTTAAGACAACTTGATGGTTTGGAAATTGAGCAGCAGAGGGCTCAGAAGAAATCCTTACTCCTTCTGTAATGTTTCCCATCTGTGCCAGCCACTGTCCCAGGGCCTCCGTTGATCATGCATCTGGGCACGCACACTACCAGTGCGGGATCTCCAAGTTCCTTTAAGAGCTGGTTGCTTGGAATTTCAAACATTTTCCCATAGGGCCATGATTATAAATGACAGCTTGACTTCTGGGCCAACAAGCCAAAATTCTATTTTGCGTACAACTTATCTACCCAAATACTCAGGTTCCCTTTTATCCCTTCAGCACGTGGTAAGTTGAAGCTATTCCCACAGATTAGGTTCATCAGGCTGGCACAGGATCACAGGAGGACACTTACAGGGGCTGAGAGGTCATTTAGGTCAGTCTGTTCCGTTTTCCTGATGCCGAGTGGAATTCTAGCCTGAGATATCAAAGGCAGGTGGGAGCCAAGGGTGGTTTCTATTTCTCCCTTCATACTTTTCTCTATTATACAACTCGTCTATAACGCAGGTATTATTCGTAGATTTGGAAGGAAAGGTTGTTTTAAGAACGCAGCAGTGATGACTGGGTGGTGAGTGGGTGAAGGCTCCCCATTTCTAAGCCGCTGCGATGAAGGGTGATGTTACTGTCATTAGAGCGTCTTCCTTCCCCTTCAGCCCAGAGGCTGTGTGGTTGTCCCCAGGCCACTCCCCTCTTTACTGACCTGCTTCCGGAACTTCATCCAGGTGCAGGTGATGGGCTGGGTGCCGGTCACTTTCCCGGACAGCTCCACAGACTCTCCAGCACGCACCTTTTGGTCCTCTGGAAACTGGATGATCTGAGGGGGCATGGCTGGAGGGGACAAGCGAGAAGATGAGTGAGGAGGAGCGAGCCTCAAACTTGCCAATGACACTGCTGTCCACATTTGTCTGCTGCTCCTCTCCGGAGCCTCCAGGGTAAGACTGAGGGCCGTGGTCACTGCTTCAGAACACCTGAGCTGGTGGACTTGCTAGGTTTGCTCACCTCTTTATTCTGATTCCCTCCATGGGGCCCACACAGTTACACGGCATGATTCTCCATGTGTTGGTAGCTCTAGAATTTGTATCTTACCCTAATTTTTTGAATCTACATTCTAACTCCTTTCTTAATTAGACAACACTTTTGCTCTTTAACCTCCAGGTCACCTTGGCTGAGAGGCTCACTATGGCTCATGTCCCCAAATGTCTCCCAGTGGAAACAGACCGGGACAGACCGAGCCGAGCTTTAAACAGCACAGAGCAGATCGCCTCCTTAGAGGCAGCATGAAGGGCAGAGGGTTAAGCAGAATTTTGCAGAAGGGATGGGAGAGTCACTACTACTGTGTGATGCTGTCTTAACAGGGGAGGCAGGAGAAGAGACAAGGAAGTGAGAGGCTGGGGACCAAGCTATGCAGAGGCTCTGCGGGAAGGTTCAGCTTGAATGACGCTGAGCTTGAACTAGGGAGGGTGCTCTCCTGGGACCACATGCCTCTCTTGGCAGATGACTCCCTTGCCCCCACACATTGCTATGACTGATTACCTGCTTTTGGAGGTGTCTTGGGGGCAGGTTTCTTTTTCACAGTTGCATCACCTACAACGAAGAAGTTCACAGGTTACTTTCTGTCAGTTCTGTGTCTCCCAAAGCTCCTGAGTCCTAGGAGGATGCTGTCTTGCCCTCTAGTTCTTCATCCAGGCAGAGCCCTCAGCCCTGTGTGTCTTTCTGGGGATCTTGCAGTCTCACACACATGACCTCACTATCAAATGAATATCAGGACTTGGGGGCCTCTGCAGGAGATCCCTGAGGCCTCCATTGAGAGAAAAACCAAACAATGCTTTAGTCTCCATTATCCACTCCAATGGCCATACCCAAACTAATGAACTATTCTCTCACCCCAACTTTCAGAGCTCAGAAAGAAAATTATGTCAGATAAACCAACTAAAATTAGCCTTTGGTGTGGATCCAAGGGTCTCAGGCTTCCTTTGGGTCGCAGACTGTGGACTGGTGGCTTTTGTTTTTTAAATCTTTGTTGAATGGATCAATGAATGAATGAACAAATGAATGAACTAACCAATGGGCTCCTTCATTCCCACCGCCAAACAACTCACACTTAAAAAATGACCCAAACAGACCAGTGTTGCAACACAAACCTATCCATTTGGCGAAATAACAATGTGCTAAATAGGCAAAAACGTCTTCAGCTATCTTTATGGCTGTTTTCTCATTTCTTTCTAGTCTCCGCTCAAAAGCTATCTAACCTATTTATTCTAGTGAAATGAAAATCTAACATGCAAACAAACACATGAATGTGAATGCTTGTCGTGGCTTTGTTTATAATTGTTCAAAATCAGAAGTTATCCAAATATCCTCAACTGAAGAATGGATGAACTGTGGTTCCTTTATACCATGAAATACTACTCATCAATAAAAATAAACAAACTACAGATATACAACATGGATGAATCTCATCAGTGATTCAGCTCTTCGGCTAAGAGAAGACAGAATCAAGGGCTACATACTGTATAATTCTATTTCTATTGCATTTTTGAAAAGGCAGAGCTACAGGGGCAGAGAATAGATTAGTACTTGCCAGAGGTGAGTGGTAGAGAGGTTGGCCACTAAGAGGCACAGGGACATGTTTTTGTTTATTTTAATCCTCACCCGAGGATATGTGTGGTTTTTTTTTGTGTGTGTGTGTTTTTTTTTTTCATTCTTGATTTTTAGAAAGAGAGGAAGGGAGAGAGGAATCAAACCTACAACCTAGGTAAGTGCCCTGACTGGGAATCGAACCTGCAACCTTTTTTGTGTATAGGAAGATGTTCCAACTGACTGAGCCACTTGTCCAGGGCGAGGCAAGGGGGCATATTTTGAGGTGATAGAACCATATTATACTGTGGTGATAGTTACATAACTGTATGTGTTTGTCAAGGTTCATAGCACTGTGCACTAGAATGGGTGAGTTTTTTTTTTTAAATATATATTTTATTAATTTTTTACAGAGGAGAAGAGGGGTGGAGAGCTGGAAACATTGATCAGCTGCCTCCTGCACACCTCCCACTGGGGATGTGCTCGTAACCAAGGTACATGCCCTTGACCGGAATCGAACCTGTGGCCTTGCAGTCTGCAGGCTGATGCCCTATCCACTTAGCCAAACCGGTTAGGAAAGAATGGGTGAATTTTAATGTATGTAAATTATACCTTGACACAAAAAAATGGAGAAAAGTCATTAAACCAATGAGATCTCCCGTAAGCACTTTATATCAAATATCAACCCTACACCCCGAGCACTCTTTATCATGTGTACCCCACTTTATTTCCCCAAGGGCACTTATCACCATAGGACAAACTATTTACTTATTTATTTATTGCTTGCCCTTTGCCTCTTCCTACAGTATAAGCTATGAATCCAATGTGCCAACACACAGCTGCACTTGATAACTATTTATTGGATGAAGGAATGGGGTTTTGTTAACACACAAAGCTTTGCCTCTGCAGGTTACAGAGCAGCAGTGCTGTGCCCTGGCTTGGGCATGGAGTTGTTCTGTGGCCACAGGTAAGTCAGATAATTCTGTGGATTGTTAGTTGTGCATCAGTAAAATGGGAGGAGTGCTGCTACCCACTGGGAACCTCAGAGCATCTTGTAAGCAGGTGGTCCCTGACAGAAGCACACTGAGAGCCCGGAGCTGGTGGCTGCCAGTTATGTGGCTGAGCCCAGGGAAAGGCCTGGCTCCATCAAGTTCACCCTGGTTTGTCACCATTATTGATCTGTCCGTCCAACTCACAGAAACTTACTGAGCGCCTACTACGTGCAGGGCATGCCAATCAGTACAAACTACTGGCCCAGGTACTGAGGAGAAAACCAACCAAATGTAGAAATCAGGACTTGTCCTCAAGAACTTAAATGTCAAGACACATGGCCTTCTTCTTTTGCAATAAGGACATTATTAGGACAGCTGGAGATTTTGACTAAGTCAAATAAATTAGATGATAGGTAGTATTGTATCAATGCTAATTCTGTGTTTGATCTCCCTACCGTTCTTTTTATAAGAGACTGTTCTTAGGAAATATACACTAAAGAATTTAAGTGCAGAATATTACATACGTGCAACTTACTTTCAAACTGCTCATAGTGAGTGTGTGTGTGTGTGTATGAGTGTGTGTGTGTGTGTGTGTGCGCGCGCGCACGCGTGTAGAAGTAATGGGAAAGAGATAGAAAAAAGAGAGATAAAATATAAAGCAAACATGGTAAAATGTTGATATTTGAAGAATATGAGTAAGGGTATACAAGACTTATTTGTACTATTTTTGCAACCTTTTTGTAAGTCTGAAATTATTTTAAAATAGAAGTTGAGTAAAAAGTTTAAAAAATAAATTTATCCAGGCACATAACAAGGCTGTTCACATGAGGGAGAGAGAGCATACACTCTGGGATAAGGAGATGGCTGGGAAAGGCTAAAGCCCGGGCCACGGGATGGGCCCGAGGACGAGAGAAGTGAGCGGCACCGTCCCATCGCACAGGGACAGGGAATGGCTCTGAGCTGAGAGCCAGGGTGATGTTTGGTGGAGGTTGGCCAGAGCACAAAGCTGGGTTAGAGAGCAGTGGTGTGAAGAGTATGACAATTTAAATCCCAGAAAATTAAAAATTCATTTCCTCAGTCACACTAGTCACATTCCAAGTGTTCAATAGCCACACCTGGTTAGTGGCTATCATGTTGTGCAGACACAGAACATGGCATTGTCGCAGAAGGCTGCATTGGACAGTGCTGGTGTAGGATGCCAAGTCTGAGAGTTGGGTCTTTGTTCTGAGTGATCGGGGAGTCCTCACACAGACAGCAGTCTGACTGGGACAGAGGACATCTGAAAGTCTCTATAATCCCTGGGGACAAGGACACCCAATTAGGAAGCTCCTGCCATACTCTTGGAAGGAACCAGTCACACAGTACCAGCTTTGGTAAAGGTAGCTTCTTTTCTTTGGAGAGAAGCAGAAAACATGAATAAGAGACAGAGGAAGAGTTAAATAAAGTAGGGGCTAAACAAGAGGAATGTACAAATACTCCTTAGAGAATACTTACTTAGATAAATGGGAAAAATTATATTGATTGATTATGGAATTTGGGAGTGAAAGATGCGGTTTGACTTGGTGAGAGTGAAAGTGGTGGATGAAAGAATTTAATCTGTGTGTGTGGGGGGGCAATGGTAAGATATGTACACAGATAAGAATTTAATAAAAAAAATAAATTAAAAAAAAGAGAAAGAATTTAATTTGTATGTAGGCAAAAGCCCAGGATCAGAATTCAGAGATCAGAGAAAGGTTGGTGGAGTCTGGAAGTGAAAGATTTTAGGATCAAGATGGAATATCATGGAAACTGTGAGGATGGGTTAGTTCTTTGGGAAAAAGAATGCAGTGAAGGGAGCAGGGGCCAAGGTCCGATTGCAGGCAATGCCCACAGTGAGGAGAGGCAGAGGACAGCCGCTGTAGCCAAGGGCAGAAGACAAGGGACGCTGGGAAGTGGGCTTTAGGTATGACCAGCACCGAGCGATGGGTGGTGTGGGAGAGGGCAGGTGCAGTGGGACAGGGGTGTCAGAAGTCACTCCAGAGGAGATTCTAAGGAAACAGGTGGGGGAGTCAATTAATCCACCCAGAATTTCAGAGGTGAAAGTGACAGAGAGAAATGGGGTGACAGAAGAGGATTGCCAAGCTAAGGTTTCTTCCAAGGTGAGAGAGAAGAGTCTGAAGGCTAGGAAAAGGAGAGCTCTAAGATGCTAGCAGGAAGAACATGAGAAAGCAAATCTCCCAGGAGTAGATACTGGATGGGATACGAAATACCCATGACTGGTTGAGCCAGGAAACCCCTCCCCCTCTTCATCCCAGGCTGTTGGGAAGGGAGAGGGCACAGCTGGAAGGGAGAGGCCATCAAGGGAAGAAAGGCTTGGACCACAGCTAGGCTCTGACCTCCTGCGGAGAGGGAAAGCCATCTGATCAGAGGAACTTTGAGGAGGGCTGCTGTGGGCTTAGTGGTGTCCCCCCAATTCATATGTTGAAGCCTTAATACCCCTACCTCAGAATGGGACTATATGATAAGGCCTTTAAAGAGGTAATTAAGTTAAAATGAGGTTGGTAGGGTGGGTCCTAAGAAATTGGGACACAGAAGAAAAGCCATGTGAGGTCACAGCGAGAAGGCAGCCATCTATAAGCCAAGGAGAAAAGCCTTGGGAGAAACCAAACCTGCTGACACTTTGATCTTGGACTTCTAGCCTGTGGTGCTTTGTTAGGACGAATGAATGCAGCTGTGGTTGGGGCTCTTGGGGCCGAAGGAGGTGGGCCAGGAGCTGATAAGGAAGGGGCAGCAGCACAGTATGAAATCAGATGATGCCAAAGTCCCACCCTATATTCTTCCTGGCCACCCTGGGCACACCCATGTGCCAGAAGTAGAGTCTGTGCTAATATCCTTCTTTCATTGTTACAGACAAATGAAACTGAAGGCCAAAGTTTTATATTTGTTCTTTAAATTTGGAGCTTCTGCTGTTTGAATTGGTTAGCAACTTTAAACGTTAGCAATGTTCTGTATCCTATACTATACATATTTTATATG